GTTCTTCGCAATCGTGCACTGCTCCGAAGGTGTGACCAGTCTCGTGGGCAAATACCTGCCAGGAAGAACCAGCATTGCGCACTACAACGTTGGCACCGGTCACAGAGTTCTCTCCAGAGGTAACAAGGTCGGAGGAGCATAGACGACCCATCCATGAAACTCCAACCTCGGTGCTCGTTGGGCAGTTTGTCAGCAGAGTCCAGTAGGCATTGTCGTCTGAATGAGCTGCGCGCCACTTGGAGAATTCATTCAGGCGCCAGGTGACATTTCCACCGTTGCAATCCACGTTCCATGGCGTAGCAGAGGAGCCCGAGCTAGAGCAGCCTGTCCCAGAGACTGTAAGATTGCGCAAACCAATGGAAATATTGAAAGATTCCTCATAGAGACTTGAAGCCGTGTTTACCATGTTGATGACCCAGTCCTTAGCAGCTTTTTCGGGGGTGGAGTTGGTAGCCATGAACGATTCGGTGAATTCACAATCCGTTGCAATTCCGATCAAGGCAACTTTCTTCGTTTTAGGACATCCACTGTCATCACCGATGGTCGTTCTCAGATTCACACCGCCAGTATTGCCCGAGACACCGCCAACATCCGACGATGACTGTCGCTTGCCCAATCCAAACATCGAGTTCAACGAGGTAACCCCCCACTGACCATCTGTCTCGTCCATGTCATACCCGAAAATCGAATTAGACAGATCAGCATTGTACCCAAGTTGATCTGCCCCGCAGCCCTCAGATACGGGAAGCGAGCGCTTGAGCTCAGAGTGCGTATAGCCAAACATGTCGGAGTCACGGTAGACGACCATAGATTCCCCATCTCTTGGTTCGACATCGGCATCGATTGGGCGCTTCTTGTCGAGGTAGGTCGACTGCAACTCAATGTGATGCTTGTTATTGTTGACATTGAAAGCACCTTCAAAGAGAGGCTCTAGGCCATCCCTTTTGACGGTGATTCTTGCCCAGCCCACGGGCGTCCATCTCCCCGTTCCGGATCCTACCAAGGCGCGGCCTTGGAAAACTTTGTGCTCGGCTCGCTTGATTGGTTCCGCATGTGTTACTGTGCCGTCGACACCAACATATTGCACGTAAGCGTCGTCGGCTAAGATATCATGATTGGGCTTGAGTTCTAGCTTTATGCGCTTGCCGTCTTGGTGTAAGGCGAAGGTGATATCAAATTCGGACAGGTGGTCTATTTGATGTGAAGGAGTACGAATGATGGCATTATCGACGGGCGTCACCTGTCGAATGGCCTCTGAGGCCTGTGATCGTGCTGGATATTGTCAGCGGCTAGGCAACCTAGGCAACGGGGGTTCTGCGGCAACGGCCTCTGCAAGTGGGTATTTACCTTGTGTTTGTTGGAAGAGAGATGAAAATGCACCGATTAAGGGCAGGATAGTAGAAAACCTCATCGCAAAATATCCGAATCTCAGGGTCCTTCCCCGGTCTTTTTAAGGGAGAGTTTCCAGGGCCCTGAGTGGCGAGTGAAATTTGAACGGGTCCACTTGGGGTTTTAAGGGGGGTCCTAGGAGAAAGGGGGATATTAAAAGAGAGAAATCAACGAACGACTAAGAAAAAAAAGAATTAGAACAAGAAACCAGAAACTGAAGAGAGGAAAGTGAGAGGAATCAGATAATCCCCGGGGCCGTACGGCTACAGGGCTATGCCAAGGGCTTAGGAATCCAAAGGCTTGGCAAAAGTGGACTGAAACAATTCCCTTTTGGGTATTTTTATTTTTAATACTTTTAATATAACTATTTAAGAGAATTGGATGACACTGGTGGAGAGAAATGTGCTATTTTTATCCAATTACGTTGCCTATTACATGCTTAGCAGGTATAATATGATAAACTGTTGGCTATATAACATATAACTACGGAGAATCAATATGTTAAATTTGTGGTCTTGAAAATAAGTTAACAAGTCCGTTTCAACGTCTGTATCTTTTGTTTCTTCACACTATATTTGCCCATCGAACGCGTAAGTGGCTCAGGGCCAAGGCGCCTCGAACCTATCAAAGGGACTTCTGGCGGCTTGGCATTTAAGGCTGCCGAATAATGGATGTCTATTGTTCGGAATGATATATCTGATGTGCCAACTGCGCAAAATAGGGCATTGACACCCCACATATAGGGCAGTCCACATTCCCCAAGGGTTCATCGTCATCCCAGCCATCGTCCGACTGTGACTGTATCTCAGGGGAACCGGGCAACTGCTCGGCAGAGGACTCGGGTTCCTGCACAGTCCAATCCTTGAGTACTGTCTCCTGCTGTCGAAACATCTTTCCAATATCACGTCCACTGTTCTGCTTCTGATCCCCCGCGGTCTCCACCATATTGGTAACTGCAACGTTCAACAAACTGAGGTTCCACCCAGTCTTTTCAGGATGTAATTTGCGAAACATAGAGAAAACACTTTCCCGGACCAGCCGCTCGGCCAATGCATCGATATTCTCTTCCAAGTTGAAAATAAAGGGTGGCAGGGGTGCTGAGCGAGAGATGCGATTGGAACTGTATGTACGCCCACCACCCAAATCTGATGGTGGTCTTGGCCGGGTCGATAATCGCACTGTGCGAGGATGAGCACGCCATCTCCCCTGGGGAACATTGTCATCACTCATATCAAGCAGATCGGTTCTTACTCGGCGGATCAGACTTCGCGACAACACTACTAGCTCCCGTCGTACACTCTCGAGGGTATCTAACCGGCCATAAGAATCTTCGATGCTGATCTGGGTCGGCACATCGCGGCCCTCGAGTACCTCGGAATTATCTATACCGTGGAGAATGCTCCACATGCGCATCCCGATCCCTTTCACTGAGCCTGGCCCGCCAAGGATTCTGTCCAGTAAAGGTGGGCCCATGCCAGGGAACTGTCGGACACCCTTGACTGTGATCTTCTCGTCGACGCTCTCTTGCCCTGTGATATGGGATTTCAGTTTCTGGGCAATCCGAGAACCAATTCCAGGGATCTTCCGGATCTCGTGATCATCCAGGAAGTGGAACACGTTGCTAGTATTATTTGCCGTTGCCGTATATGGCGGCAGAAGAGTCGTTTGGCCGTTGGGCTTGTGGACATTACCGACCAACTTTGCCAGCATTTTGGAGGTTGAAATCCCGCCCGTAGCCGTGAAGCCTATTTCATGTTCCAGTTTACTCCGTATATGACCCTGTAAATGAGAGGCAACGAGCAACCTCATTTCCAACGAAGACGGTTCTTTCTCAGTAATGGAGGCTGCCTCCGCTGCGGGGAAGGTCGATCCCTGGAAGCGAGTGGCATCGTAGGAAAACCCAGCGGTCGGATCATTCCGATCAAGATGGAAATATGAATTCGCCAAGTCATTTTGATTTAGCACGGCAGTGTTGTAGTCAATCATTTCCGTGGCGTCGAGAAAGAGCTCGTCAAAGCCTAGCTTTTCGACACGGCCGCCCCAGACAAAGGAACGAACCAGTACATAAAGCTCCTTGGAAGCATCTCGGAACTTGGTCAAGTCTTCACCCAGAACTATTACCACATCGGGACAAATACGTTTGGCATCTTTGATGAGCTGTAACTTATGCAGACCTCGCCGTCGGGCCTCGTAGTTGCAGGTTACCACAATTTGCTTTTGCTGAACAGCCAAGGGAAGTGACCTCAATTCAGGTCGCTCAACTTCAAAGACCGAGGCATAGAAACAGTCATAATCCTGGATATGGTTAGTCAAAAGGTGGCCAGTAAGAGTGGGGAGAATCACCAAGTGGAGGATGATTCGACTGTCGTTCCGCACTAGTGCAGCCATGAACCCTGAGCTGATGCAGACGTGTCCATGTGGAGTTGATTTTCGAGTGCCTGGCAGAGATCCAAAAGCTGAAAACAGGAACCGAAGGCAACTCCCAATGGAACCGTACCTGTGGCTGGTGCATGTGGCGTCGGTGGCTTAGCATTAGCATTGTTGCCTGGCAGTCATGCATGGAGTGACAACTGTGTAACTAGTTTATTATTGTATTGGCTCTAGGATATTGCTTACAATGCAAGGCACTATATCTCTCTCTTTTAGACCACACGCCCAAAGTGACCCGCCACCGTCTGGTCGATCAATCCTCTAAGCTTTCCTCGGTCATCGCCGTCACGAAAGTGGAAGATATTAGGGTAGCAAGGTCATTGATGCCATTGGGTGGAGGCGATGTCACACTGCCACCCCCACCAATAAGATATAACTAGTCAATCCGGTACAGTTTGATCTTATTTCCTACCAATCATAGCCTGGAAGACACCTCTTTGATGCTTGCGGTCAGTGTCACATGTGATATAGAGTTACAACATTGACGGTTTTAGATCAGGGCCTTGATATTAGGTACGACCCATGTGATAGACAAAGTAGATGTAGACGAAAGAATATTAAGACATATTTCAAAATGGAATTTTTGTAGAATTCTCTAAATCCACCATTTTTAGCTCTTTGCCACCAAAGTACGTACCCGTATAGATGTAGATCGGAGACCCACGGGCCCTGTTCTTTTTATAGACAAGAGTATTTTTCTCTTTTCTAATACGAATCCTGATCCTGATCGTGATTTTAATTAAGAAATATTTATTAAATGCTCTCTAAAGTAGGTAGAAATTCAGAATATGCAAGTATGTTATACTACTAAAATAGAAAGAAGGGAAAAATAGTGTGGATGGTGGCGTCGATAGTTACGCATATCCACTTGAGTCTGGAATTGCGACTGTGGAAATCTCTGCTCTCGAATTGAGTAGCAGTACGGAGTATATATGGGGTATATGGACATGTGTTAAGTATGTACTCCGTACTCTAAATACTCTCATTGAAGTTAATCTTAAATCTTCTTAACCTGTGACATGCATCTTTCATCACATCCAAGCGCCAACCTCCTCTATTCTTAGTTCAACCCCGCTAAACATACCTTACTTTTTTTTCCCCTCTGATCTTCGATGATACACACTTGATTCTTCTGGTTATTGAGGTTATTCTGATTCTTCTGGTTCTTCCTACTTTTCATCATGTCGTGTCTGTCGCCAGATGCCACAACCACAATAACCTCCCGACCAAAACTCACCCTCCAAACCACCTCTCTCCCTCGTACATTCGGCACTTCCACCACTGGCCTATCCTTCTCCTTCGCAGCGGCACCGGCTTCATCGCCCACCGTTCGAAATACCTTCAAGAATGCCTACGAAGTCGCATCCCCATCTTCAGCGACCTCCCCCTCCAAATCTACCCGCTACAACAAACCGACCTCCCCCTACATCCTACACGCGAACAATAATATCTTCAACCACCGCAGCCCCTACCAACTACCCATCGGAGTGCGCAGCATTTTACGCAACTCCCCACTAGAACCCTCAACACGCCGACGATCAGGTTCCATATCAGCGGGCGGCAATGGCCCCAACAGCGCAGCCTCACGTCGCGTCTTCTTCCCGGCAAAGAAACAAGTCAGCTACCGGTACCCACTGGAGGAAGAGATCCGAACAGAACGCTACACCGCGCAACATCTCGACCTCGTGACGGAGGAGGCAGTGCAAACCGAGGCAGACACAAAGACCCCACCTGAGACACGCCCCGCCCCGTTCCCGAACCTCGAAGGCGAAAAAGAGGACTCCGATAACAGCCCGTCCTTATCATCAGAGACAAGTGCCTCGGGCGATGATACGAGTGCTGATGAAGGCATGCGCGGGTCGCTCTCCAAGACGGAACGCAAAAAGCGCCGCACGATGCGCATAGAGCGTCAGGTTCGGGCGGTGGCGCTGCTAGATGGCTTTGAGGCTGACGGTTTGTCCATGCCGCAGACTGCACGGCAGGGTCGGGCGAAGCGTCGCAGGGAATGGAAATGGACTCTCGGGCCCGTCGATACGGCCTCGAACAATGGCCCCGACAATGTCTCATTATTGCACGCGGCACAGGGTACCTCTGGATCAGAGTCTCTCCGAGTATCCACCGAATTTGCACCCGGTCATTAATCATGCTATGTTCTTCATGGTTTTATGTCTGATGTCTCTCTTTCTTTCTTTCCTTTCCGCCGTCTCTTTTTTTCTGCATAATAATGGCGATGCATATATTTACTCATGAATCATGTTGTATAGAGGCGCTGTTTGGGTTTATCAGGTGGCTTAGGGCGTATCTGCGCTCTTTCGCTTTCATTGGCTATGGTTTTAGCATCTTATTTTATGCGTCTTATCCTTTCGATGTATACCTACCTACAACATACCTACCGGATTTCCGCTACATCTTGGCGTCCCCTTTCCGTTTTAGTGCTCAGGCCTTACCGCTTTTTGCTTACTGAGTACAACTAAGTACCTACATACTTGCTCTCTCCACCTGTCCTTTAAATGTCTGATGTCACCATGTTCGTTCAATTAGACAATCGCCAGTCGATAATTAGCTATTGCCGTTCTTGTACAGAGGAACAACTTATTGCAGGCTCAATGCCCGGCAACCGGGTCATTAAGCTACCAGATTGTACTTGGTGATCAAGTTCGGTCGTCATGTGTCCTCCTATGAGGCAGAGAACCAGCAAAAAGCATACAACATGTTGACCCAGAAATGGCCATAGTCCCTTGGGTTCATAACTTCTTTGTGGACGATGAGGGTTGGGGTTACATGGTATCGGATTTTATTCAGGGCAAAACCATTGATCCTGTTCCGAAGACTCACATTCAAAGACTTGCCAAACTTCTTGAGTACTTTCGGTCTATTACCGCCGATAGCGCTGGTAGCCTATGCGGTGGCCGGTCGATTGGCTTGCTTTGGCCAGATACAGACGATCTGATCATTAAGAATGTCCAGCAAGTGGAGGAATGGTCCAACAGCCGGCTTTTTCCTAAAGATGGAAGGTCCAATTCGATCCTAGCCCACTGGTGCTCTGTCATTTAGATATAGCCCCCCGAAATCTCATCTGGTTGGATAATGGCCGTGTCTGTTTACTGGACTGGGCATCAGCAGGGTTTTATCCGAGACCGTTGGAATTTGCCAGACCATTCTTTCAAGAATATCAATTCAGCAAGATGCCTCTGAATGCCGTCGCTTTTGGCTCTAGGCACGACAAGGAAGAAAGAAGAGGATCGGCCGGGCATTGTATAACAATGAGAGGTATTCCTTGTAAGTTGGAAGGAGCCAGTATAGTTCACCTCTGTCAGCAGTACTAATACGGAAAATAGTCGTTCGTGGGACATTCTTCGTCAACCAGATGATTGCATATTTCCTCTTCCACTAATACCGGAACCGCCACAACTTCCGAGTTAGATAAAGCCAATGGTTCTAGTGCAACAAGCCTAGAGGTGGTGAACGACCGAAATTGCCAGGTATTGGGGCATATTATGTGATGGATCGTCCCACGCACCAGCTTCACTTTGTTGAACGCCATAATCATCATGGATAACAGAACACGGATTTATTATTTTTGCACTTGACTCCCATTTCCCCTAAACCCTCTCTCACCATCAGGGGCTTGAGATCGAGCCACTTGATATATAAACCTCCTGTTTAATCGAACATTAGTTAACGATTTAACTCCTAACTACCTGTAATATGAGTACTGTATACGGCACCTGAGCACGACTAGAAAAGGTGTAGTAGATGTGCATTTTATATGGATTTCGCAGACAAATTTACATGGTGGCAGTGGATGGTGGTCATGAGCGTTCATAACTGGTGGTTAAACAGTAAACAGTGGATATTCACATTTTATACAGTCAATTCATGCAAATGCAAATAACATAAAAAACGCCGAAAACAAATAAAAGACATTCATACATCGTCAAGTCTCTGTCTCGACATCTGGCTCGCGACCAGTGAGGCCACCCGCTCCGATCTTCTTCTTCATCTTACGGAGCGCATACTTGGCCTCATCCTTGGCAAAAGCAGCATTCCGCGCGGGCCGCCACTGCATGACACCGCGCTGCTGTCGCTGCTCACTGTGTTTATTCGCCCTGTTTATCTGGCTCGTACTCATATTGCTTTGTGACAAAGACGATCCAGCTCCAGCACTGCCACTGATAGTCGACGGTCCCTTCGACAAGGGCTCGAGCTCGTCATCTGATTCCGAGGTTTCCTCGTCGTGGTGCTCTCCACTCTGGAAACTGTCTCGATGAGAAGGTTGATCCTTGAGTGGCGGAGGGGTGTACGGGTCATGGCGAGGGAGGTCCCGGCCAGGCTCAGCGACCTTGCGCCCGATGGAATCAGTGTAGGCACGCGGGTCTTGACCAAATGCGCCACTCCAGTCTTGGCCGTCGTGGTCAACCCACCGCTGACGCTCAGAGGGCGAGGCTCGCTTCAAGATGTCCCGTCCGGCGATCAAAGACTGCTCGTGTTTCTCCTGTACTTCAGCAGGAACTTTAACATCTACGGTGCGGGAACGGACACCCTGTGACAAACACGCTTCCCAGGTCTCGAAGGTCTCACGGGAGTCGTTGTCGACCACGAAACGCTCGTGCGATTGGTCAATGCCCGGCGAGAACTTGCATCGGAATTGCAGACGTCCCACCTCTGTCAAGTCTTCGAGTCCAGGTACTTGCTTGGCCTTCCAGTTCTCCTCTGTGACGTAATTTTGCGTCAAGCGAGCGCCCATCTTCGTCGTCCAGATGGGAAGGTCGATGTTTGTTTCCTCGTTGTCGACAAGGTGCTGGAGCCACAAAACAGCGTATGCTGTTGGACCTCGCTTGCCCTGGTTATGGAACTCGAATACCATCGGGGAGCGGTATCGGTGCTTCACAGGCATGCGGAGCGAGTCGCGGAAAGTCTGATCGGAGGTATCGAATATCGCATCACTGCCCTGCATGTGACACTTGTGCCGGGTGACCTTGCCAATGCTGCCACCGGTGCGCAGCTTGATCTTGATGTGTCGACCAAAGTTCTTCGCGATGATACTTTGTCCAGCGAATTCAAAAGTGCCAACATCCCAGCCAAGCATTGGAGGGGGCAACTTGGTCTCCACATGGCGGAACAAAAGAGATATACGAATGCGTCCAAACCCGATGCCACCATCGAGGGGATACCAGCGGGTCACTTGTGAGCTGCTTTGAAGAATATCGGACAGCTTGAGGGGAACCACGCCAAGGATGGGATCGTGCTCGCGATGGCGTTGGTCTCGGACGGTGATAGTCACGATGGCTGAGCGCCAGTCGCGAACGAACCGCTCAGTACCTGCGTTGAAGATAGGCTTGGAGCTCACGGCCTTCGCACGGGTGCGATAGATCTGAAAATGCTGTTAGTATTAGGAATTTAAACTTGAGGGGTACCTATCTACAGATACGTACTAGTTGATCGTTCAACAAAACCTTGCAGTAACTCGTTGGGAGATCTTCACCCTCCTCCTCCGTGTTCTCACCAAATGGCTTCGCCGGCTCATACTCCTTGCCCTTGCGGTTGCCATCGCTGCCCTTGATATTGGCAAGCTGAAGGTTGACGATCTGGTGCACAACAATGTGCACAATACCGCTGGGCCAGATGGGATCAGGTGGTGTATGCATAACGGCATCCTCTTCATCGTTGTTGATAGCTCCCTTTTCGTCTTCGAAAGTCGGATTGCCTCTTAGGTTTTCAGGAAGGTCTTTCTTCATTCCATCCGTACGCAGCTCTGGGCGGAGTTTCGGTTTCCCGAAGTATCCAACCTCCCAATGCAGCTGACCGGGCATTTCACTGCCCTCATCCATACCCTGGAGCTTCGACACCTGGGGATACATTTGACTGGGATGTTGAAGCATCTCACGGATAGGTAGCTCGACTTTGCCGACAATATCATCCGCGGTGTTGCGGTCAGAGTCCCAGAGTTCGATGCTCAAGTTTTCATCGGCCTTGATCAATTCCGGTGTCACAAGAAGGGCGGCAGTCTCTTCCCAAATTGGGTTGAGGTCATCCGTAATCACACGAGTACAATACATCGGCTTTCCATACTTCGAGAAGGACAGGTTTATGTATGGATCACTGCCACCACCCTCACTACCGCGAGCATCCTGTTTGCTCAAGCCAACAGCGCGGTGAATGCGAATCCACATCACACCCAGGGCCAACGTATCTTTGTGGATGTCATCTCCTGTCAACATCATGCCTAGATCCATGGTCATTGACTTGGGAGCTGCAAGCATGCTACATGCGGTACTAATGGCAGAGTTGACAAAGTTGGAGATCAAGGGTAAGTTCAGAACATTTACTCCCGTTCGGAACATTGGCATGCAGCCAGCCCTAACGTGGGGAATGCCGACTAAAGTGAAAGTCACATCCTTCATGAACGGTGCTTGGGGCATCATTTGGAAGCGTAGGCGGACAGTTCCGACAAGTTCAATCAGCTCTACGAACACAGGGAATGGCACACCAAACAAGCCTCGAATGCCCAGATAGAAGACCAGTTGCATATGCATATTGCGTGCCTTTGACGAGGCACTCTGGCCAGTTGGGCTCGCGTGATAGGCAAAGGAGGCTTCCAGGTTGTAATAACTCCCTCCTTCTTCAGCAGCAGCAGCTTCCTGTGGGTCTTTGTTCTTTTTGTTCTCCTCGTGGATATTGTCCTTCAAACCCTGTACATGGTCGTCCGGCAGAGAGCGCATGCTCAGAATTCGGAGTGGGTTGCTGCCCTGGTCGATTTCTGCGATGCGAACATTCTCTACGACCTTGGGTGCAGATACTTGCATGATATCTTCGATTGTGTCGGCCACAGGTGTTAGCATATCTGGGTTAAGGAGTCCCCACACAACGCTGAGGAAACTGTTCATCCACTCGACAGATTCAGGAAGAAGATTAGCAGTTGCCTTTTCAACAGGGTCAGTGTTTATATCCATTAACAAGATGATACAATAGAAAACTTACCATCTGGCCACGAAGTTGCTCGCTGCTCCACTCCATTGCTCGACCACTGCGAATGACTTCCTGCATCCATAACCACACTCCACTAGAGATGCATGCGGCTAAGGGAATAAGGCCCCAAAGAGTTCCTCCGCACATCCGGCCCAATGTAATGATGGCAATAGGTATGCCAATACATAAGGTCGTCGCGCGCTTTTGCAATGAATCAAACATGGGCTGATATGACACAGTTGGCGTTGGGTGGAACAGAACATTTGTCTTTTCTCCTCGAATGGGAACATCGGAGGTTGCGCCTTCGGCGATGGGATCGGGGGGTGCAGTAATATCTTGTTTTTCTTTATAGTCTGCAAGGCCTTGGTCGGCACCTGTTTGGGTGTCCTGAGATACATGTTAGTGATATGCCCGGTGAGGGGTATTCTATAGAGACAACTCACCGTGGGTTTCCCAATATTTGCATTCGGAACCGTCAACTGAGAACAAATTAGACTCCATTCATAATTGTTCAAGATAATCCCACATACCATTGGATTCTTTACAGGTTCCATGGATGTCTCGTCTAGGTCTTCGACACCGATGTCCTTGCCCGTGGTCGGGTCTGTCACGGTACGCATCTTGGCCTGGGAGACTTCGCGTGGCTTATGAGCAACAGCATCTCCCTCTTTCTGATCCCTTTGGTCTTCTTGCTCTGCTTGTTTTCCAGAGGTCTCTTGCGCCTTTTCACGTGCAGCCTTTTCTTGCTTGGCTCTGTTTTCTTCGTCTATCCTGCGATCGCGCTCCTTCTTCTCGGCATCGATATGTTCCAAAAAATGACCAATGGTTGGAATGGGATTGGCAGCACTCCAATGCTCCCCAACCCGATGGCTCTGGGGAGCATTGGATCGCTGATCTGTAGCCATCTTGGTGGAAGGGAAGCAAATGAATCGAGGTTCAGCTTTTTACTTCACTTAGCTGCAGGGTTAGTTCGTTTTGACTGTACAACGTCGTAGGAGATGAGTGCACCTTCTCAGCCTCACCCTGAGAATAGAGGAGTGATCCAAGAGAATTTAAGAATTGCAGAGGAGAAACCCAGGACATTTCAGGAAGCTTTCTCATGAGCTACGTCATCGATAGGGAAATGGGACTATGACGATGCTACAAGAGATCGACGTATCGTTTATCTTGTACAATCGAAATTGCCTACTGCCATCATTTCCCCACAACTTATGCCAATCTCATAATGGCCTGGCCAGGGGTTGCCTGTTTGGCCCATCTCAGCAGAATCCCAGTCTTGGCATTGACAGCTTCCACTTCTCTAAGTGAGTTGGCACAAGAACCTGTCCATTGACAAGGCGAATTAAATGCACTGAGTCTGTCTTTTACACTCATTTCGTTGTTCCTGCCCAACTTGCACTTATTTGCCATGGCTATAGGAACGAATTCCAGCTGAATCGGTGTAATATAGCATATGATGTCATCGGTCATGAATAACCAATTGAGTGCGATATAGGCATCTATCCTTGCCATGTTTCTTACCAACATACAACTTACATTGCAATCAGTTATTTCGATTATATCTGTATGTCGGCTTAAATAGGAATTAGGCTAGGGAATGAGGCACGCGAACACATGGAGAGGCCCTTGGTAAAACAGACATCTTGCGATGAGGTGGATAGAGCAGTGGCCTGATTGAAAAGGCGCGGCATGGCACGAAGCTAGGCAAAGATGCGTAGATCGGATGATGAGCACAGGGTTAGCCTGTTAGAGCGACCTCGGGAATTATAAGGCTGATGGCGGATTGGATCTGTGAGGTCACATGATATGTCCTAGTAATGCTACTTGCCCCGGGTGAACGGGGCCGGGTGCCCACCAGGGCTGGTGCCATCCATGGCCCTGGGAAATGTTAACCGAAATACCGGGACTTGGACAGTTCAAGTTGTAATCTGGTATTCATTTTAACACCAGTTGACGGTATTTCTTCAACACCTGAGTAAACGCCGTATTAATAGAATAAGTATTCTTTTGAGAAATACGGTATTCTCAATGAAATGCGGTAGCACAACGGTACTAGATTTCTAAAAAATATGCACTCCAATTTTATTTCATCTGTAGATATTTTGATCTACATGTTCTTACGTATACTTTATGTATGTATGATTACTATAGAAAACATAGGTGACCCTGCAACACACCTGCATGATCTCGTCTATAAACCAGTAGTATTTCAACAACAGCCATGACACTGAGAGTTGGAGGTGAAGAGCTACCTAGGCATCCGGTATCTTGGCGTTGGTATGTCCTAGTTTTCTAGACGTAAAGATATGAATCATAACTTTATATATATCTTTTTAGCTGAATAAATTTGGTTCAACGTCCATTTTGATGCTTTTAGAGCGACCTTGCACTCTATGAGCCTAAATCCTGCGGCAGCCGCATTTCGCCCACATCATATCGAATATGTATATTAGTATCAATGGGCAGAGAATTGATTAAATAGTATTTACCATTAGTTCGCAATGTTCATATGTAATGGGCTCACTCAATCTAGGTTGTCACGTGGGCCAGAGCGTACCACAATGTAAAAAAAAGATGGTGAAAAAAAGGGGCATGAGATGTCACTGAGTACGAACTTTATTATACCGGGTACACGTGAATTCATGCTTATTTTCAGGACGTGAAGCAATCCATGGGTGCGATGATATAAAACTGACAATATAGCAATCGTCTATTTCTATTGGATGACTCTTGGAGACATGGTCCACATTACTCCCGCTGATTGGCTGGAAATCTTAACAACCATTCAGCGTGAAGCATACATCATAGGGCTCGGCCTTGGGAGGTGTTGATGATTCGTGAACTCATTGATTGATTCTATTTATCCTGTTCTAATCGAAACTTTATATCTCAGCAACATTGTAATATAACCAACGCATAATATTTGTGACCAGCATTAAATGATTCCAGCAACTTCGGCCCATATCATGCCATTACTAAATTGAGCCAACAGTGGGCCGTCGGGCTCTCGGTAAACTACAGGTACCCCATAGTACCGAGCGAGGACACAGGTCCTGTTTAGCCGGGAGAATGAGCCCGCCAATCACAGATATCCTTTCTTTTCCCAAAACAGTCTTGTTACAAGCTATACTCCGGCCATCAATACTCCCACCATCGGCAGGGATATTTCAGTGCTAAAGGGGCTTTTCTTCCCGCTTTATCACAAGCGTGTTGGTTTGTGCGTCTCATTTTTCCTATTATTGTTCGCTTAGGACTCAACACTGACAATGAATAGCGGGCCAAGTCGTAATGAGCGGAAGGCCATCTCTTCGTCACTCTTCGCGGTCTAATCCCCTTCCATCTACCCCTCAAAATGATAACGATCATTTCATCTACGACACAGCTGAGCGCGAGAGTAGCGAAGCCTCCCCTTTGACCCCACGCGAGTCGACAGTCTTTGGTGCATACCCGCCCTGGAGGACATCTCGAGTCTCTGGGGAACATCCAATGAACGCAAAAGTGGCCATTCCCCGGCTCGACCCTCCACTTGCAAGCAGTAATGGTCGAGTTAGTCGGGCATGCCATAACTGTCGCAAACAGAAAAACAAGTGTTCTGGTCATCGGCCGTCTTGCCTTCGGTGTCAGGAGGCCAACGTCCTTTGCGTCTACGTCGATGGGAAACGAGAGAGAAACGCTAGGTCTGTGATTTTCCCGGACATTGTGGCCCAAAATATTTACCGAAGCACTCAGACAACTTACAGTCATAACGAGCCAACTCCAACACTACGAATCTCTTGTGCGCGATATTTATCCCAAATTCGACACCGAGCTGGCCAAAGTCGTTGACCAAGCGCTCGGAGAAGTGAGTGAAGACCCAATGATCCCAACGAAAATGGGATCTTGTGATAAGTCTAACAATCCACAGATATCCAGCCTTTCCCTGTCGTCGCCGATCGTCGCCAGGTTACCGGATGAGGCAGACTCGTCGAGCCGAACACTTTCCTACGTGGATCACACCCTGGAGGACTTCAATGGAGACATTTCACTACAAGGGATTGGCTTTGTAGGAGAGCATTCAGCAACGGCATGGTTATACAGGCTTAAGTGCTTGATCGGTCAGCGAAGAAGTTCCAAAGCGGACGGCCAACTCGAGGGATCAGCCCGTCCATCGATTTCTTCCTGTGCATTATTTATGGATGATGCCGGAATACAGCCGATAAACGATATAGATGTCTTCGCATATCCCCCACAAGTGGTCGCCGATGAACTCGTGGACAGATACTTCCAAGTTGCGCACGCCTCCTTCCCCGTTGTCGGAAAAGCAATTTTTCTGAGCCAATGCCGGTCATTCTATTCAAACTCAACCACCCACCCTGGAGCCAAGTGGATGGCGTTATTGAACATGGTATTTGCGATCGCTGCAAGACATTGCGAGCTTTCCGGAGACCAACCGCAGCTAGATCACAATATCCACACGGTGTACTTTTCCCGCGCCTGGCGATTACACACTAGCGAGAGTGTGCTATTGGAGACTCCCAACCTGCAGCAGACACAGGTAGAGGGACTAATATCACTTTACTTGCTTTCCATTGGACAGGTCAATAGGTAGGTTGAATATCGCGAGCATTTATTTAGCCACTGATTTTGGTTTAGGGCATGGAGAAAATGTGGTATTGCAATCCAGTCGGCGGTTGCGATGGGAATCCACCTTCGTAGCGAAAGTCCCAGCATCACACACGTGTCCAAAGAAACCAGATATCGGCTATGGTGGGCGCTATACCTGCTGGACATCCTGCTTTGCGTCATGACTGGACGCATGCCCAGAATGCAGCAGGAGCACTGCACAACCCCTTTGCCGGTACCTTACAAGGAGGAAGACTTCCGGGATGAACATGTAATGAGGCTTATCATGGACATCCAATCCAGAGGCCGTCTCATGACTTCTTTACTCTCCTTCGATCCTTCGGCCGAACCGAACGACCGTTTAGCCCATTCGCCTTCTCCATCTATGTCCCAACAGGCATCACCAAGCCCGCATCTCCAGGCTAACGTCTCATTGTACTTACTTTACTCCATTGACTTGGCAGCTGTGATGAGAGAAGCAATCGAGATCTTGTATTCTCCCGAAGCGGGACGAAAATCACGGAATGACACCGAACTGGCCATGACATCGCTCAACAGCGCCGCTGACAACTGGTTTGCTCGGCTCCCTGCGACGTACCGTTTCATGGAAACCAGAGATGACCGAGCCTTTATCCGTCAGCGGACGAGTTTGGCTTTCCAATATTATTCGACCAAACTTGTCATTTCGCATCCTGCCCTTCATTCTCATATGTGCGGTGAAATCTTTCCCACTGGTCTTGACACCCCAATGGCGACGATTTGCCTCAATGCAGCAGGACAAATGCTTGATCTCTTACCCAATGAACCGAACATCGCCTGGCTCTTGGGTTGCTCACCTTGGTGGTGTGCTCTCCACTACCTCACGCAGAGCACCGTAGTGCTCATAACGCAGTTACTCACCCAGAATCAAACGAGAGCTAGTGAAAGAGAAGAGTCGTTGCAAAGAGTCCAAAAGGCTCTGCGATGGTTGAGTGAGTGTTCCACCAAGGATCCCTCTTCCAAGCGGGCTTGGGGCAACTTTACGGAGCTCTTGTCATCCCACGGATTGAACATTTTAGAATAACATCTCTCGGTCGGCTGTCACACCCTGGATTCCCTTGGGTCCTTTTTCCTTTGTTTACCTCACGTATACAAGTATTACTGATTTCTTTCACGATCAGCGTCTCATGCCTCCATTTCGGATAGATCTATATATGAGAACCAAACCCTGCAAGGTAGAGTACGGTGTCTGATTTTTTGGACAGTTTGCGCAATAATACATTAAACCGGATATAAACCAGCCATTTTGGGAAAGGGACGTCGTGACGTATTCGAGGGTATACGTCACGGCAATGATCCCAGGAACACAAAGAACGACCAACCAGGCAATATGAAAATATTATCCACTCAAATTTCTTGAATGTCGACTTTAAGTGTGGGGATTACACAGCCTCAAGGATAGATTGGTCCAGTTCAAGAGTATAGATGTAATGGCAGTTGCCACCTGGATGTTGTGTATGGAACTAGGGCCCCTCATACAATGACGTCAACATCCTTGGCCCAGAGAGGCATATATAGTCAGAAGGTGGTCATAGACAGGAATGATATTGAGAAGCATGGCTCAATGTGACTCTCTCAAAAGCCTACGCAGATTGTAAATACCCGATAAAATGGCCCCGAAATATATTGTAAATCCCCTTTCCCTTTTCTCCATAAACCCTACTAACAAACAAGGTAACCTTTCACGACTCAGCTGCGACTGAGGAGATCAATGCCTACATACACCAGATCCACAAAGATGGAGGCTTCGTTACAAACAGATTTCCGGACATGATCGCCAGGGGCTTTCAGTACGTGCCTATCCACGGAGATCTAACGGGATTTCGTACTTATTTATGTGTTAGAGCACATATAACAGACTCGGTCCTTCATAGGCTTGAATCGGACTCTATTATTGAGAATATAACGCTCGACCCTTCTTAGCTAGTCCTCCATTTCTCTCGGCGATACCTGGATAGCTTAGCATTCTTTCAATGTTCCCTCCTCGCTCATGTATCTTACGCATCTAATGACATAAACATTTAGCCTCAAATTTCTCAGCCTTGGCTAAGAATCTTCGACAAAGAGAAAATATGCCATCAAGAAAGGAAGGGCATTGACAAAAGGCAAGCCAAAGTGGCCCTGTGGCTGGGCAGACCAAAAGCAGGACAGCCCAAAACACGTCCAATGACTCCAACAATACTTCGTATAGAAATAACACGAATGTCCAAACACAAAATGCAGAGAAAAAGAAAACAAGGCTTGCATTCGGCAGAAACTTGTTCCACTTGCACGCGTTGGTCACAACCCTGTATCCCAATAATCCCAATTAACATCATAATCAGCCAAAAACGGAGTCTGAAACGTGAACTGAGAGTTGAGAGCCCAAAACTCAGTAGGCGGATCAAAGCCCAAGTTGTTACTTGCCAATTGGGCAGTTTCCGGAACATGGCCATTTGCATAACCGAGGTCCGGGATCGTGCCCATCCATGAAGATGATTCGTAGTATTGCCCGGGAACGGTGCTAGGCATCGTTGGCATCGTTGGCATCGCTGGAAGCGCTGGAGTAGCAGCAGAAATATGTTTCGATGCTTGATCAACGACGATACGACGTTCGAGGTATATCGTGCCGAAATAGGGAATATCAAGCTTGATGCGAGTAGGCCTTCCATTCTCATATTGGTGTCCTTCTGATTCGTCAAGTGGAGGAAGTTCGGTTCCCATTCCTATCGCCTTGATAAGTTTCAAAACCTGCAAGGCTCGAGTTGCAATCTTGTCCGGAGGAATGCTCTTCGCGAGTTGCTCTAGAACAGCCACAACCCGGTCGAGAGCGAAATAATCTCCTTTGGTAAAGTCCTGTGGGCCATTTGGCCCGAGTGCATTGACAATGATTGTCATTGCCGTGGTGAATGCTTGGAAATCAAGAATCTTGCAGTCAAACCCGTTTTCAGTGGTGCGTCGGATACTGACATAGCAGGCGATGAGGTTGCGGCAGGCCTGGAGACAGGTTTGCCGATTATAATCATAGAAGTTGTCAGTACCTGATGCTAGTAGAAGAGGCAGGTGTAGCCAAGCCGTGAGCTGGTAGTAGTATAACCGACGGTAAAGCTGAAGAAAACAAGCGGACCGCTCGGTAGACTTTCCTGGCGGAACATTGTCGGGTGACGCCAAAGGAGGGGGATCGAACGCTTGAAGTTCCAAATCGATGCTCTGTGTCATCTGCAGCATGGCCGGAGTGACTTCTGTAAAGGTCTGATTGCGCTCAATAATTGATCCGGCTATCCGAGCAAGGCGCTCCATAGCGCATGCTTTGTGAGCGGGCAGATCTTGAGGGACCCTTCGGTCGGATTGATATAGATCTATTGCCGTATTAGATATAGCTCCATATACCCCAAGCATGACTGAAAGATGCCTGTCAACCAAGAGGATGTGTCTCCAGATGGCCGTAGCCCGATGTTGGAACTTCGCGCTTTCGTTGGGAGCTGGTTCAGCACGGTGGAACCCGATTAGCTGAGCGATACTTGCGGCCCGACGATAGGAAAGCCATGCGCTTCGTAGCTTTCCGTTATTGCCGAAGAGCAACCCTTGCAGAACCAAGCACTCGAGCCCGTCGATACAACTGACAATGGAGTCGTCAGAGCAGACGAGCGTGGAAACACGGATGATGCATTCTTCGACTAGGGCCGCTGGGAGGCAGGGAAGATTGAGAGAGGACGAATCAAACCCTGAAGGGAGTTGTTGGAGACACACTGCAATCCACAAGATGGCCTTACCTACCACAGTTGGGTGACTAGTCGAAAGCTCTTTCTCCGAGGACGAAAGCAATGATTCATTGTAGTCTTCGAACAATTGCACGCGCATAAGCCACCAGGTACTGCTAGCCTCTGATATAATTTTCAATGTCTTATGGGTGGGTATCAAGGCCATTAGATTGCGGCGCAACCTTCCCCAGTCCCGGTTGATCGCACCATATGGTGTAAAATCGGACTCGACGGTCTCTGGTCGTTTGAAACCTAGCTGTCAACTAGTAAGCACAATATAGGGGGAACCACAGATATTGCACGAACCGATTCGTTGTCAAAAAGAGAGAAAACTGGAGCATTGTCAGGAGCTGGTGTCACGGGCGGGGGTTTCGATCCTGGACTGGTTTCTGCTGTATCTATGGGCGATCTCGAGTCACGCTGTTGATGGCTCCCACCGTCGACTCGTATCAGAAGTTTCTCCAGTAGGTTCTCCATTCGAGCCATCCGCTCGTTCACATATGCGCGGTCCGACTCGCGGGGATTCTCAGGCTCCGGCAATTCTTGGCTGCGACATGGAAGTCCCCGGGCGAGACATTCTTTGCAGTTCTGGTCGCTATCAGACGCAAAGATGCAGCGGACTTTCCGATGTTTGCCTGTGTGCGCAGAGAACAACCGTTAGGGATAAACCACGAATTCGCTTGTATCAAGGGGGCTCTTGTACATTGCCAGCAACTGCGGGTCCCCTTTCGGATCTTCTTCCGAGGCAGATCCCCGGGCCGCGCCTGTGGATCGTGGTTCGAGTGCACCATCTTTGCAGGAGGAAAGGTCTCACTATTCACCTAAAACACGAGTGATAAGAATTCTGAATTAGATCTATCCCACATATGTCGTGCAGCCAACGTCAGGGAAAACCGGGTGGTGACGGGTCAAACAAAGCCCCCAAACCTGATCGAGTTGGTGCCTCCTGACCGCCTCCTCGCCTACAACTGTGAGATGCAATACAACAATGCGACTTACTGTCTTCGTCTTCATTCATTTTCGCATTTCGGTGCGAAAAATGTCTGGTTCAGCCATGACCCCATCACCTTGAACTGCAGCCCAGGGGGTATCTTCAAAGCAAAGTCCGTGACTGGCTCAACGTGGAATTCTCGTGGCACAATACTAATGCTCACGCCGGGGAGCTCAGCCTGGGAATGACAACTTGTTAGAGAAGACTCGAAGCTTGTGGAAATCCCTCTCACCTTCATCTTCTCGGCCGTCTGCCTAATTGGATCCAACAAGACTTCGTCTCCTCCCGCGCCAACGAAGATCCTAGAAACAGGAAGGTCTCTCCACCAGCCTGCTGAGGCTTTGGCGGGGCAGTTGTACTCATCTTCCACGGCGTGGCCCAGAAATATCCGTGCCCAGCTATTCAAAGTCTGAGCCGATATAACATCTCTCCCCGCGTTTTCAGTGGAGCTCGGGTGATCAGTTCTGAAGTCAACCCAAGGGGACAACAACATCGTCCCTCTGAGGGGTTCATCAAGCGAAAACCTCGGCACGATATCTTGAGGATGCGGATGAGCAAGATGTGATAGTAGCGCAAGTGCAAGATGAGCACCTGCCGAGTCACCCTGAAGAATAATGTCTGACGGTCGTTTTCCCAGTGTCTGGATGGCGTACTCTAGGACGATAACGGCCTGTTGCAACTGACGAGGCCATCGGGCTTTGGGGGCAAGCTCATATGCAAGGAATAGCACACCGATGCTTTTGCCATGTTGTTTTATATCTGTGGAGAGAGCCTCGAGATAGGTGAAGTGGGCCGGTAGCGCGGGGAGGCAGTAGCCACCACCGGGAAAGTATATGATCAAATTTTCGGAAGCAGGGTCACCCAGCCAGAATGCCGTTGTACCTTCAGGAAGAACGAGTATGTTGGGTGAGGACTTTCGTTGCCTCATGTGGGCTTCGTAGTTTTTCTGAGCGGAACCCGGAGGAAGAAGAAGTCTGCGAAGTGTTGTTAGATGGTTTCTTTGTCAGACCAAGGAATCTAATCTGGGTATTCTTGCTGGGCTATTCTATCCGGAGACAACATTTCAACTCACTGGAGATGCTCCATGGATGCATTTCGAAAGAGGGTGCGCGTAAAAGTCAGTGCAATATGCTTGTAGAATGTGGCGCCCCCATTTCGACCACGGAATGGAGAAATCAGGGCGATCCATATAGCAATGGCAACTAAATGTAAGACGCATCAGCTGTCTTTTTTGTCAACTGCAGGGGTCTCTTATTGGCTACTTACGGGATTTGGCCACTGCAATTCCCAGGCCCAGTGACAAGGGAACCATAGGGCGCAAAGATGCCTGAACTTTTTCAAACTGGTCGGAAAATATTGCGTTCCAATATATTGTGATCAAAGAGCCCGGTTCAAGAAACAAAGAGGTTCTGTTGGGTCTTGGTGCAGGGAGCCTTTGAGTATAGTGTAGCAGATCCGCCGAGTCGGCGGAACAAAGCAACGACTTCGGGCCAATCAGCCAATTTTCGATCTGCAAGCAACGAGAAGGGAAATCAGAAGGAGGATGAAAGAGAGAGTTGGAATTGGTAAATTGATGAGAAGTTGAAAGTAGGAAGTTGGGATCTGGAAGTGGAAGGCTGTTTGTCCGAAGCCGTGTAACCCGGGGCCAACTAAATTAGTGTCTTCTGTGAATCACAGAGTATCCATATGTAGCTTATATTACTCTGGTTATTTCTGGAATTAATGTGTTCTTCTGAAGCATCCTAACTAGAGCATGAAGATGGATCTACGAGAAAAGCCAACGTATTCACAAACATAAGAAAGATGTAAGCTATTGAGGCCATTCTAACCGAGTCTACAGAGGTATCTAGTCCGAAGACAGAAGCAGAAGAACTAGAATGTAAGCGGATGGTTGTAAGACAAGATAAAGAATACAGTTTCAGGGAGTTAGAGAAGCAGAAGAGTAATGTACGTATACATAAGACTCGATGAACAAAGACAGACACAATACATATAGTTTGGCCCAATCACAAACCTCCAAGTCATGACGCTGTCTTCCGAATTTTCTTGGCTTCAGTCTCTTCGTCCTCCGCCTTGCGCTTCCTCGACTCGTCTACTTGCTGACGGCGAGTCATCGACCTTGTCACACGAGCTGATGGGGCGACAGTCGGAACAATCTGCTCAATCTCCTCTATGGCAAACTGCAATTGCAGACCTTCAAAGCTATGATAGCTCCTAATTCGTGAAATCCGGCGAGTTCCACATCCCATGGCCCCCAGAACCAAGTGTGCCACAGTCCGTCCAACCTGTGTCCCTAGTAGCGCCTCAAATTCCGGGGTTCCAGCTTGCCAATCGCGTATCTGGTCATCTGGCCAGACGAGGCCATTAGGCTCGGTATAGAGCTCCTCCTTCACAAAGGAAAGAGTATCCCTATTGCAAACGTCGATCATATAGACATACCTCAAGGTTCCAATCTCGAAGCGGTCCTGGTAAACGGCCTGGCAGACTTCTGACATGAAGTATTCGGGTATTCTCTGCATTTCTTCGACCACCAACAGCCGAGGCGCCACTTGCCCTTCCCAGGCATGAAGGTTCTGAAGTTCAGAATCTGTTGGAACGGGCCCGTCTATAGAGACCATTGTCCATGCTCCACCACTTGGTCCCATTATTCCAAGTCCTGCAAATTCTTCTTCAATCTGGACTGGAACATAAGGAAACATGTCCGTATCTATTGTGAGTGCCTTGCTTTTCTTGAGGTCTTCGAGTCGCAGCTTAGAAGGGTGGCTTGGACATTCTGGCACAGACGGGTCAGATTCTGGGCGTTCCATCCATTGCTGCAGTAATCGGCCACCGGCTTGTCGCTCGCCGTATTTGAGAGTGGCACATGCCATTGGAGAGATGTTGGAAATTTCAAATTTGGATTGATATGAAGGTTGCTGTAAAAAAGGTGATATCAATCCAAGGCCTTGAAGGGACATTGGTGCTTTACATATGTCAAATTTCGTTGATCGAGACAACCTTTATGGGTATTAGTGAAATAGTGTCTTATAAGTTCTGCGCTTTGAACTAGTGTTTGGATTTCTACTGAGTGCCATCAATAGACTGTAGACAAAGAAATGGACTCGAAAGAATCGATCAAAGGGCTAATTAAACCATGCAGTGTTTGAAAGATATACTATCTGCGTTATTGGACTCGAGTACTTTCGGTCATGAATAGTACCATTGTCTTTGAGATCTTGTGGGCCATGGAAACTATGGTTTTATCCTAGGCAATAAAGAGTCGAAATGGTAAGAAATCTCAGGGTCCCAAAAATTAGACATGAGAACAATGAAAGTCAACCGAGGCCACATCGTTGACTGCTATAATGAGGATAGATTCGTTGAGACGAAGACGAAAACACAATGCGATATGCGAGGAAGAACACCAAGGAATATCGATATCACCAGAACGCCCTGCCATCGTATGATAGTCAACAGCACGGCTTGCATCTGTCGGAAAAGTTCATGGACAGCTTGATAAGCTTCGAAAAAGCTCTTTCTTTGTCCAATAATGGTCTTCAGGGTCCCACTCTCGTGGGCTTTCGAGTCCTATACCAGAGTCCTTATTTATCGCAAAGCACTAGAACCGAAATTGAAAGAAATTACGTACCTTTTCTGCGCAGATGCTGTGGGGCTAGCCATTTTCAGCCTCCCCTGCTCATGCGGTATCTTTTACCGCCCGCAAACAACGGTCAACCAAACCGGGAGGCTGATAAATTGGATGAAGCAAAGTCCCGAGGTCAAGATGATTGGAACTATGTAGAAGTCGGGACCAGTTCCTCAATCCTGTCTTCCTCAATATCCCCTCCGCCTGTCCAAATTTTATGCGCTACCACAACCACCGCAACAGAAGTGCCTCTCCCCCTAACGACAACCTTCCACGGCATCCAATGCATATGGTGACTGATCTCTATATGGTCAAGCCCTCAGGCTGGGCCTAGGCTAACCTAAGTCCCGTTAACACTACAAAACGCCTACCACGTGATGGGCACTATTATCCTACTATTCACCGGGTTTCCTGTTAAAGCGGCTGGGTTCTGGCCGCTAGCATTATAGGCGTGAAGGAAACAACAAGAGACGCGCTGTCCATTTTATGGGTACGGCTTCAAATTCATAGAGGGTCGATTTCAACGCTAATATGGCATTTAGTGCACGAAGTACGGGTGCCGGCGTCCGCCGGTGTGCCAAGCGGAGGGGGTTGCTAATGGGCCGGTCCGACATCAATCTCGTTCATGTCAGGGACGGTTCTACAGAATGGATACTGCTCGACGGCGCTAGGAGGTGATGGCTGGAACGAATACGGAGTCTAGCTCCGTTCGAAAAAAGCCGACCTTGTTTCAGTTCCAGCTTCCGTTTTGGTGCCTACGCCTACTTTTATGGCTACATCAGCACATATATCTGCACCCAAACCTCCCATGACATCAGATATCCACACAACTACAGTGGGGTCCTCGGGCTTATCAACGGGCGCGATAGCAGGGATCTATGGATAGGGCCACGTGCTAGAATATGTGGTATTCTGGTTGATTGGCACTCGGGTGGCTTTACGGCCTCCAGAGAAGGAGATTATGGCTTAGATGGGATCCAAGGAAGCAATTTAGTTTATCCCAAGCTAGAACTGTGGTCCGATCCTCTCTATGAAGGTCCGTGAAAAGGATGGTTCGAATCTGAGAATACCCTACTGAACTACGGAGTACTCCGTAGTAGGGCCAAGGATACAATGGCCCAGGATTCATTGACGATTTATAGATGAACTATACGATACCATATATTGTTTATTCATTTAATTTTCTACACTGTCTTTTTGTCTTACATTGGACATTTCAACCGAACACTTACAGCCACCTTTTCTCGACCTCGGGTTACCGTCGGAGAGGTGTAAAATTGGCTAGTATCTTGTTATACTACGTCCTGTCATCTTATCATGCCATGGTAGTAGTCTTGTGGGACGATTGAAGTGTGTAAACGGCGTTTATGGAGTAAATAGATTGCCATTCCATCCTATTGCTCATCCATCCCACGTGCGGTAGCCCGCCAAGCCCTCCAGCCTTGGCGGACGCCTGGGGTTGGCTGGGCCAACTTGGCATTCCGTTCCCTTGGCTTGGCAAGGGGGTTCAAGCTTCCCAGGTGAGCTACAGGATTCCGCACGTGTGAATCTGGCGTATTTCCTATTCGTCGCCAGACACAACATGTACTCTCTCAAGGAGCAGCGATATCTTTCGGAGATTTGCTTCTCTACATTACTCTAGAATATCTTGGCGAGAGGCTCTTGGCGGGAGGCTCGCTTGCAATTAACTTCGAAGCTCGTTGTACTTAACGGAGCTGCTTTCTCGCTGAGTGCGAACCTCTCGGTTTCATCACAATCGCCCCATCAAGATGCGCGCCTCTTCGATCTCCGCGCTGGCATGCTTTGTCTCCTTCGCGGCAGCCCAGACCTTCCAGCGTCTGGGTGGTTGCCCTGACTTGGGATGTATCTTCCCGCCGGATCAGTATGTGATATTTCAATTGCGCCTAATTTCTAGCTACTAATGACTATTTCAAGGGTCGATTTCCTCGCTGGTCAGTACTTCGACATCCGTCTCGAAGTACACTCCCCCGTCAATGGCTCCGAAGCTCGTGTTGGAGAGCCAGACGAGAACTTTACCTTCACCATCGCCAAGAAGGGCAAGGCTCCTGTCACGGCACCGGAATACTTTAAGATTGATGAACCTGAGCTGGAGAGGTGGAACTTCACATGGTTTGAAGGTAATAGCCTCCTATCAGTCCTTGGGGAATACATAAGCTAATAGAAACAGACCGATTCGCCGAGGACGCAGAGAAACCCTCCCTTGTCAACGTGACCTCAAAGATCTATCGGAGGATTGCCCTTTATGAGCCCGGCGAGTACGAGGCTACTCTGACCTACTACGGAGAACAAAAGACAGTCGCCAACTGGCTTGTTCGTGACCTCCCTTCCAAGCGCCGCGCGAAGAACGTCGTCATGTTCATTGGAGACGGCATGACTACCAACATGGTTACTGCAGCCCGTCTCATTGCCCACCGCAGCATCAACGGCAAATACATGACAAAGATGGCATTGGACAAGTTCCCTGTGCTGGGACACCAGATGACACACTCCATGGACTCGTTCATTACTGATTCGGCCAACTCCGCGACCGCCCTTTACACTGGTCACAAGACTACCGTCAATGCTCTGGGTGTCTATGTTGACTCCTCCAGCGACGCTTTCGATGACCCGAAGTTCGAGACCATCGCAGAGATCTACCGTCGCCAGCGCCCGGACGCCGGTGTTGGTATTGTCTCTACTGCGTTTTTGGCAGATGCTACCCCTGCTGGTCTGTCTGCTCACACTAGCGACCGCGGTGAATACGACCATGTCATCGGCACCTTTTACGAAGGTTTGACCGACTACGAGTGGACAAACTATGGCCCTGATGTGCTCCTTGGTGCTGGCGCAGAGAACTTCATCGCTAGCGAAGAAACCCGCGATTACTACAAGCTCTTCGCCGAGAAGGGTTACAACGTGGCCTGGAACAACACCGCCCTGGAAAACGCCCCAAACGACGAGAAGCTGCTGGGCGTTTTCTCGGAATCGAATCTCGCTACTTGGCTTGATCGCAACGTCTACCAGTCCAACCTTTACAACCAGAGCAACTACCCCGACGGTTCAGACCGCGACGCAGACGATCAGCCCGGACTCAAGGAGATGACCCTCAAGGCGATCGACGTTCTCGACAAGCGCCACCGCAAGGACGGCTGGTTCCTGATGTCCGAGGCCGCCAGCATCGACAAGCAGATGCACACTTTGGACTACGACCGTGCCCTTGGCGAGCTTCTCGAGCTCGACGATACCGTGCGCGCAACAATCCAGAAGCTTGAGGAGCTGGGCCAGCTTGAGGACACCCTCATCGTCGTCACAGCCGACCACGGCCACGGCTTCGACGTGACCGGCTCCGTCGACACCGAGTACATGGAGGCGCAGACTGACGACCGCAGCAAGCGCAACGCGGTCGGCTACTACGAAAACTCCGGCTTGTCCCAATACACCGTCGCCGGATCCAACGCCTTGAAGTACTCCGAGGGCGTACACTTCCCTGCCCAATGGGACCCGAGATACACCCTGCACTCGGGTACTGTTGCCTTCCCTGACCACCGCGAGGATTATCGCGTCCACAGCGAGGGTCCCCGCAAGCCTGCTGCGGAGGACAAGACCCACGGGTACGTTGCTTACTACAAGGATGCGGTCACTGGTTTCGTGGTCAATGGAACCTTGCCCCTTGATTCGGGTAAGGGTGTCCACTCGTTGACCGACGTGCCAGTCTACGCGCGTGGCCCTTGCCAGGAGCTGTTTTCAGGTGTCTATGACTCGACCGACATCTTCTTCAGCATGGCGGAATGCATGGGGTTGTCGGAGGAGAAGAAGCCCTAAATTAATTGGGCACCTTGTCAGATAATTCAGGCCATGTCTTACGGCTCACTTTGTACAAGAGAAGAATATGATGTAGAGTAGAAGAGATGAATGATGATGATGTACAAGAGAAGAAAATAAGATGTCGTGTCAATGAGAACTCAGCTTGTAATTTCAAGTAATAACATCCTTTAAATATCAACACCTGCGCACGCAAGATATACATGTAAAGTTGAACACCAGTCTATTTACAATGGCCCAGCCAATTGATGCCATATCAGTCAATCCTTACCAAAACAAATCTATAAAACAACCGTTTCCAACACTGGAGACATAAAATATGTTCACCGTGATAACCGAGTTTAGGTGGCATTGTTGGCACAAGTCCAGCTAGCCTTGGACGAGCTCTCGTTGATAGCCACGCCCGAGACATAGAGCCCCAATCCACACTAGTCTTGTCAGCAGGAAGTTCAGAATCACGCGGGGAGGCGAAACATACAATAGCACAAGCAATTCCAAGAATGATCACGTTGACAATAGTCAGGACGGACTTTCCAGTCGACGCAAACCAGTGTCCCCAGTTCATGTAGAGCCAGAAAATGGCAGGGAGGCCGTCTGTTCTCAGTTAGCAATCAATTTCGTCATGTCTTAGTCTCAGGACTCGACTTACAGCTAAACCAGCTTCCAAATAGGGCGCTCTGCACAACAAATTAGTACACGCACAGTAATAAACAGTTAGAGAACATACAATCAGACTCAGCAACTCGTTGAAGACTGGAATGGACTCGGCGATGATCCACGCAATAGTCCAGGTGCTCAGGCCGATAGCGACCCATGTGCCCGTAGCCAAGAAAGTCTTCTGGTGCATGTGGTGCGAACGCTCGCCGCGGAAGATTCGAACATAGATATACTTGCAAGCAACGTGGCCGAAAACAACACCGGCAACAATAACCTATGAGAGATTAGAACAGACTCCCGATGAGCCACAAGGAGACAAATAACACACCGTTGGGATGGCAAGACCGTAGGCAACCTTCTTCATCATAGGTCCAGCGGAAGACAGGGCCGGAGATGCGACAGTCGGGCCGGCATAGCAGTAGATGACCATAGCAGTCACAACATACATAGTAGTATCGATAATCTGCAGCATAGCGAGGGCTTTGGGGAAGTCGCGGGGATCCTGCATTTCCGACATGATACCGAAGAAAGAGACGTGGGCAATGAAGGCGAAGACGATGTTGGTGACGGCCAAGAAACCTTCCTGGAAGGTCGGGGTCGTGACGATATCGTTCTGGACATTATCGGGGGCCTGGACACCGATAGCAATCATGGTAACGAGGGTGGCTACCAGGATACTGATGGCGGAGATGATGGACATCCAGAAGACCTTCTCTGCTGTGCGTGGGAGGGCCGCAAGACAGCTGACCACCAAGCCGACAACTCCGAAGACAATGGTGCAGGTTCCGTGGTTCGTGATGGTGTTGAACAATACGGAGAAGGTGAGAATATGACTGGCCATCAAGAAGATGATGAACAGCAGCTGACCGACGAAGAAAATCTCGCGCCCGATGGGGCCTAGAAGAAGCTCACCAGCATCACCCATGCTGTGCACCTGGGGAAAACGCTTCTTGAACTGGCCCATGGTGTATCCAGTGTACCAGGAGATGCCGGACAAGAACATAATGATGACAAATGCCCTAAAAGATGTCAGCTTTCTTCCTGTATCGTAGAGGCAGACATTTTCTTACGGGACAATTCCGAGGGTTGCTACTGCAGACGGAAGAGATAGAATACCAAGCGAGATGTTTTCAGCGACCATCACTAGATGAACAATATTAGAAAGGGGTTCCTGTTGATTGGGGTTAATGACGGGTGCTCACGGGTTCCAGCTTGCCTATATAAAAGTCAGAACTGCGCTTCTTGATGCAATACAAACAGTAAACAGAGTGAGATACTAACCACCAAGGCATGATGCGATACTTCACTTCCCCAGATTCTTCGTTTCCAAAGGGATCCTCATTGGGATCGACTGGATAGGCCTTCTTCTCCATGTCGGTTGAGTCATTGTATACTTCATGGTCCTGAATAGGACGAGGTGCTTCGGGGAGACTCATATTGTTGAATAGTATGTGATATGGAAAAGTGAAGAAAGGAGAACGTCCGGGGACAGAGGAAAGACACAGAAAATCGCGTGTGGAGGCCCAAAGAAGAACGGTTGGCCCAGAGCTTTTGCTTGGCGTGGGAGATAAAGGTTAAGAGAAGATTCTATTACCAGATATGTAATGCTAGTTTAGCTGCTCGTGACTGTGGGGAGGGCAATCGTCTAATCACGAACTCGCTTAAGCACACTCTGGGGTGTTCTCCGGGGTAGAATGCCAATGAGGTTGCGATTTCAAACACGGCGTTGAAAAATGAGTTCATGGGTTTGGGTTACCGAGACCGGAAAATGATTATATAAGCGCATCTTCACCGGTGCGCCGCCCATATTTGTGGGGTATTCGGCGTCGGGCGAGCCAACCCTGTACGCGGTCTGCACCCTGATGATAGATTCTACCGGCCCGGCGAACCCGGGCCGGCGTAGGATGTTTTTGAGGCAACCATCTCGGCGATAACGTTTAGAAAAATTTAGTCAAAGATTTATGTACTGTGCATGGATTAGGTTTACCCCAACTTCAACCCCAGATCTTACAATTTGCCTCTAAAAGACCAGTCCTCACGGGTATGTTGTATGTAGTTTTAAAGTAATTGTGCATAAACCTTGGAAGAATCCGACGGTGGCGTTTAGCTTTGCGGCAAGATGGGAACTAGAATTTTCTCGAAGCGAGGCTTGGCTGTCAGGCGCCTCGGGGGCCTGGCCTCGGGAGATTCGGTCATGGCATTGTTTGTCTCCCAAAACCCCGGGTCTTGGCGGGTTGGGCTCTAGTCTTGTTTCAGGGCATTGGGGTCGAGTGAATTCCGCATGGATCCGATCCATTGTCTTAGGGATGCGGGGTGTGGGAATCCCTGTTTAGCGTACTCCTTAGAACTGCGTTTCATTAATCGCAATGCAAAGACTATTGTAGGGAGTTTAGTGCAAAAGTTCTGGATATAAGTACATTTTGTGTGGGACCGCCATACAAATGGTACCTAGTGTCTAAATTTTTTCAAAGTCATATTGCTCTACCACAATACTATACAGGTAGGAAATGAACGTAGTTCAGAATATATTGTGTCAGGACTATATTATTTAATGGACTCATATGAAGCAGAGCGTATCATCTATAGTATAGTTTAAGGGAACCTCAAAAATGTATGTATGTTGTACTTCTTTGATCCCACCATTTTAATATAAGAACAAGGGATCTTCCAATGCAATAGGTTGACCTAATTTTGCAAATCAAACCTTGGAAGAGTACATTTGATATGACATCAATTTGCCTTCCTGAGACTCAATTTCGTGTTTAAGAAATGCGGGTGGCAAACTTTGAATATAAGTACAGTTTGTATTGCATTAACATACAAAGGGTACTTCTATCAATGAATTTGCGAATCTGTCACCTCGGGCATCCTCGGAAGAGATCATTGTTACATGGGAATAGTATCATCAAATCTTCCTTTCAATTTATTGTTTTGCCTTTGTCTCCAAAATTTCCATCTTCGCTCAAATCCCGTCGGTTATCTAGGTGTATGGATCTAGTTTGGGAACCCTGCCATCGCCCCAGGCACTGAGCGAGGCCAGTGAAGAGCTTTATACGCGATGTAACATAAGGCTGTTGAGGAGCGCCACCGTTTCTGCTAAACATAAGCCCTGGAGGCTTTTCTTGGTTTATCATCCTTCTAAATCGACCTCGGGAGGCATGGGGCGATGCAAATTCACGCAGTACCCGGTGGCATCTTACGATACTGATATTGTACTGATACTGTAGAATTCACTAGCCGTCGTAATTATCTTCTAAGTTCTCAATGTCCAAGGAAAAGTGGGGGTGGATATGCTGAAAGGTCAGGGCGCGACAGGGGTTTCGCAGTGTAGTACTCCGTGTATAACCGCTATTTAATTGATTATCTTCCCCATAGCACGGCATAGACATTGAGTTTGCATTTAACCCCTTTTTTGAACCAATGTCTAGTCCTAAGCCTGAACTTGTTATGCTACATGAAACAGTCTTATGTTGGAACGCTGGAGCAGTACATACCATATCTCCTCTGCCGGGTGGGGAGGGTTGGCGTATACAACATAAAGATAGGCTCCGATAAATTTGTTTAAGATGCGAGTAGAATAGAACAGAAGATAATATTGGAGATAGAAGTCGTTGGAGGACAAATTACCGAAGGTAGAGGACTCCGTGCTGTCAACGCGTAAACTATGTTGAAGAGGGGTGGGAACTAGCCCAGGTGGTAACTTACTATAATTTTACTGCCTCATTGGACTGGTGCCTTGGGGTGGGCCCTGGGAAACAAAGCGAGACGATTGCAGGTAAAACTGGTTTCGCATATCATTGTATAGGAAAGAGCACAAGCGAAAGAGGAAGGATTGGGGGGAGGGGAAAGATCAAGGCCATCAAAAGGGGAAAAAGCTAGTGCTGGTAGTCACTGAGATCTAGGAGGGCTCTTGCGGTGATGAAAGAATCTTAAAAGCCTTGGAACAAGTGCATTGAATAAAAGCTCATGGGCCGAGGGTGCATGTCGCTAAAAATGTGGATCGCTTTGGGGTATCTTAAACGCAGCCAACCAACGTTTCCTTAGTATTTGCATGTCTGTCCTTCTCCAACCGCATGTCTTCTTCTCTGATGACTCCCCGTGGTTCGGGAGAAAGATCGGCATTAGCAAAAACAGCAGACAGGCCACGATGCCTTCCTCGCAATGCAACTGCAATTAGCAATAGCTTGCTAAATGTGTGCCACGCACCACAAAACGAATAGCTTTGGCCGGGATAACCAACACTCACACCGACATAGCTGTATGCAGACACGGCTTCAAAAATAATTCTGAAGGTAGAAAAAGCCAAGGGATCGGCTTCGAAGTGATCTGATTCAGTAATGGTTATAAGAAGAATGGCGAGGGAGAGCCACCAAATATCGCGACAGAATTGAGAGCGAAGTTGTTGGTAAACGAAACGGGCGTGAGGAAGACTTGGGAGGCTCGATGGATGGCATTCTTTTTGAAGCGGGTCTGTGAACTGGGTTTTTGCCATTTTTTCCATGCTATTATATGTGAGAATCGAATTTCAACCACGAGATTGGGAGTTGCCATACCTAATGGTGGCTGAGACGGGGAAAGCAGAAATATACTAGAACCCGGCATGTTTAGCTACTGATATTTTTGTTTAACAGAATAATCAGTTCTCACCATCATGAAAACTAGAATTCGCTTAGCAAGTTGCCTAGTCAAAGCAGGACTCCCATTTTTGGATGAAGAAGCACATACCGTATAGAATAAGCAACCCCTGTGGCAATCGATCGAATGCCACAACAGTGAATCCACCGCCACGCACAGCTTTATTTTGCGTCAGTTCTAATCCATGATGGATGACCAGAAATAAATACCTAAAGCCTGGAAAAGCCCATCTAGGACCCGGAACCCGACTGGAAGAGAGCCAATCTCCTCGTTATTGATGGCAGAGACCTCGAAAGCACCCCACATGATGGCATTGAGAACAACGACTGTGCCCAATATAAACCATGTATGCGAAGCAGGGTATAAGTAAGCGCAGGCCTTTTGGGAATCACTGAGGGTAAAATCGAAAGTTCGTCGCCACGACTGCCAAGTGGGGTTATTCGGCAACATCTTTCTCAAACCCCAAATCAGCAATCTTAATAAACAAGGGAAAAGTGTGTTTCCGGCAAGGATAAGAAAGCCGCAGGCAAGAAGCGGAAAGGGCCTGTGGATCGTGTCAACAAAACGCCTTGACAACGGGGGCAAATCACCCACTCATTTTGATAACCGCCCATATTAGCATCAATGAGAGACATGCCGTTGTTGCAGAGTGCAGATGTAGCAAGAAAAGCTCCTGCCCAGAAAGGGGAGGCTCCATCCTCCCTTGGAATGTCTGGGCGGACGAACTTGGACCAGAGGCCGATACCCACGATACCAAGAACGAGGAAACCGATGAAATATAGTATGATAAATACTGCCGTTAACAAAAGTGCCCTGCACTCTACCTCGCCTATTTCTTTGCAGTTGATTGGTTCTCTGCAGGAGAGAGGGTTGGCTGCTCGTCGCACCATGCCCTTTAACCAGGAACTCAGGCGTGGGATATGTGCCTTCCAATTCCCAACATCCTTCTTGTCGTCCACAATAATGGAAGTGACCTGCTGACTTCTGTCGGGATGTCTCGGGTCTGTGACAACGATAAAGCCATAGTCCTCGCATGATCCTTCGGGCTCGCAGGAAGACGAAGCATCTGGTTGCAATTCCCTCACTACGGTAGTGGCTTTTGCGTTGCCTATACCCTTGGCAGACAGAGCACCCTCTTCGTTACAGGCCATTTTCTTTTCCTTTCCCCTGTCTGAATTATCTCTCTGAGCGGACCGGAACTTCCAGACACGAAATAGAGAGATGATTGCGAAGATAGGAAATGCATGTCCGAGAATAAGAAGGCAAAACAGGGTGCCCTGTTGTAAAGGGTTTAGCGTAGACAGGTCAATCTTAGAAATAGTCAGCCATCATATCAGGATGCCAAGTATCGGTAGTGGAGGACGTACCACGCTCAGCCCAGTCCCCGTCATAGCGCTGAAGCACATGAACAAAGCATCAGAATAGTGGAGACCGTGGATATCCGACGAAGCCGTGTATAATATGACACTGCCGATGGCAGGCGTGAAAATAAAGTAGGCATAGTGTAGTGTGAGTGGACTCAATTCCAAAAGATCAGCCATGATCGGCATACTGATGTGCGAATCGTAAGCATTGTCTGAGTTTAGGGCTGGGATACCCCAAACCATATATGGATTATCGGATTGTATGGCCCAGCAGCAGCTGAAAATAATTCCGCTTTCCTTTTCGTAAAGTGCGTGAATTCTCCTTCCATGAGAAATGTAACCGTGTTATTGTGTCCTCTTCATCGGGTCCATTGCTATTTTTGTCAAGCACCATTCATTTCAACACTTCGGGCACAGGGCTTAGCGTTCTAAGGTACGGCACGCTGCATTCTGCGGATGCAAGGCTCACATTTGTGGGCCTGGCCTATTTGGGACTTTTTAAGATTTGGCAAAAGGAAAGGGCCAGATCGTGGCTATCACAGGATTGGCGACAAACAAACAAATGAATCAGATAGTTGTCGCGGTCTAGAAGGTTATTGGGAATGTCCAGCTATGCATTCTACTGTCACATGAATGGAGTCGCTAGGATATCGTCCACTCACAGGATCACGTGGCTGGTCAAGGTGAATAGGATAGTTTGTTAATTATGATAGAAAAACTTCTCATGTTGAAGCTTGCATTCACGCTCAAATGACTAACTGGCCCATTACTTCCTGAATACCTGCCATGCCCCGCCCCCGCCCCCCAATGAGACGTCTCTTTTGTCATGATACCCCAGGGCCATCGTTGTCAGACCAGCACATTGTTGCACAAGGGGTCGCGAACAATGCCGACTATGTTGGGATTGTATGGACTGTCTTGGATCCAAGGTATAAAGCCCGGGTAATGACAATGCCTGTCCCATTCCAAGGCCAAGGAACTGGCCAAGTCACCGAAGCCTTTCCCGTAGAGCTTCAGACTTAGCATTCTTCAATTCAGGCACTTCGGACATTTTCTGGGAGATCGGGAGAAACTACCGAATACTAGGGCGTTATCTCAGCATAGTCGCTTGGCACATTCCCTAAATATGTGATAGCAAATATGAGCCTCGCGATCATTGATTGTCCTATAGACGATTGAGGGGACTGTACCCGCATCCACACAGCACCGTTTAGCGCAGCGTCACACAAGATGCCCAAGTAGCTAGGGTGAGCATCACCAAAACTGATATATGATCCGTCTCAAGGACACGGATTCAGCTGTGGCCGCTAACAAACTTCATACTCGTAGTGCTCCTCTCCCTTGCGACGTACTCTGATGTCCTTCCCGAGATCCGAACTAGCGTACGCTGTATTAGCCAAGGTATATCTAGGCGTGTAAATTACCCCAGAATTTACCTGAGGATGGCATCTTCCCTACTTTGTGGTCTCACTCGCAAACTCGGATGCAGAAGTTGTTGGAAAATACTAGAAGGATTCTCGGTCATTGCAACTGTAGGCCTTTTGGCCGAATGGGATTCTCAACAGAGGTTCTCGACATTTGCCGATTCTGCTTGAAGGTACCGAATTTCATTCCATCACCTGTCTTCCCGTCGCCTCTAGTTATAATTTTATTTGCTGGAGATCCTTCTTCCAATATTATTCTTTGAATGCTAGTAATATATAGTAGCTACCAAGTTTATAATATCTTGGAGTACTTAGTACTAGTAATCCCTAGTACTATAGGTTATGCTAACTTACTAGGGATCTATAACTAGTAGCTACTAATAAGCGAAACCCAACTGACAACCCGACAATCCGACGACCCTTCCGGCGGGTTTACATTACGAGTGTCGGAACACAACAACTGAAGGAGTGTCAACGGGACCCCAACACGGTGCAGACATATAGCATCAGCCCAAAAACGCAGCATCAGCTTAAATAAATTCAGCTCGCATCGGTTGAAATACAAAGTGCAAGAAGTGATATCGTTCCTCAATCCTGGCTGCTCTCCTCAGCCTCCTCACCAAGCAACGCTGTCACCTGCGCCATTTTGCTTGCAGTAATAGTTTAGCTCATCTCCTCCAATGTGGGCTCCCTTGGACTCGCAATAGTACAGCAGGTCCTTCTCGTTCAGAAGCGTACAATCGGGGCATGTATCCCATTGCTTGCCACCAGTGTTTCGGTTTTTATAAGCAGTGCATGCCTTTTCAGTCGCAGCTCTGTTGTAAACCTCCTATGATGTAGTTAGAATTGCTTTCCCTCGGTGGTACAAGTCTCCAAATTGTACATACCACTCCCTCGCCAGGGGTATCGATGCAAACACCTTGAGTGTGGACATCTGCGAAAGCACTGCATAGAATCAGTGCCTTATCAAACATGTCAATTCGGAGAAGGACTTACCCAACAGCAAGAGCTGCGACAATAAGTGAAATAGACTTCATGTTGATGATAATGTTTATCAGAGGCTATTATCGGACTGGCTTTCGAGGATTGGGAGGCAGGCGTAAATTTAAATGATGCTTGAAAAGCCAAAGAAGTACGTTAAAAAGGATCTAGATAGTGCTTCTGAATTGAGTTTGCCTGGCGGAACGTCAGGTCATACAGATCCCCTTCCTTGAAGTGAGACAACTAAGACAGAATCTCCGAGCAATCTCCATTGGAACGATGATCTTTGTTGTTCCTTTCCCGAATTGCATATATGGTGTTTCATGGTCCCTCCTGTCATCCTGCAAGGTCACTAGCTGTGGGCTATGTCTCACAACGACATCGACTTTAGAGCTGATCTGCAAGAGTTTAGAGTTTAGGTAGGCATTTAGGTTCCGGGACATCACCACGTGTACGGAGTAGACTGCATATCCACGGATCGTACCTAGGTACAACCGTGGCCCGTGGAGCCCCATGATTGACGATTCCAGTATTTATCTCAAGTGGGTTTATATTCGCAAGATGAATCTTAATTTCTATAATCGATATTTGCTTCATAAAGGCACTCAAAAATGGTCAGTTTCAAGCTGCGTTCCTACTATTCCTTGCGGAGTACTTCGGATGAACTGGGTTTGGCCCCCAAGGCGTTTGTCTCACATCGTCACCTTTATCAGGATCAACAGGATCAACGATGCGCCCCATAGCCGTTACACTCCCCAGGTCTCAGGTGCCCTGGTTTCCTTCAGGACCAATGGATTTGACCAGTAGACTCACAGGTAGAGGCCCATGATCTACATCATCATTCGGACCTCTCAGGAGAAGTTAAATTGATTAAACTGTCGCAATGTCTCTCCGCCATGGCTTGATACCATCACCGGTAGATCCCCGGCTATTTCTCGGAAGTATGCAAGTGAAACAAGGCGGGTTCCTGCGTGAATATCCTGGACTTCTAGGGAGTATGGTTATCGCAGATCTATTGCGGCAATATGGCTCCGGATGATGGATTCGTCTAGTCCGACAAGACAAAGTACACCGTTTTTTTCTGGCAGTTTTAAAACCGTTGCCTTCTCTGAGCGACTCTAAATAGATTGTCCTTTCCATCACGGATTTATAACTTTTCTCAAGATCCATTCTTGGTCAATATCCACGGACCTTTACCAATTCTCTGTTGGACATCATGAAGTTCAACCTTGTCTTCCTTGCTTCTCTCTGTGCCAACAGTGCACTCGTCTCTGCCCTGCCAGCCAATACGGCCGATACAGCTCTTTTACTTCTAGAAGATGGCACCACACAGACTATCAACAAGAGAGATCTCGCTGCCCATCTACCTGGAGTCTCCCTATCTCCGCCTACCGATTCTCTCCCGAAGTTCATTGAGACCGGATCTGATGATTCCAGCCTCTCAAAACGTCTGAGCAAGCGCTCCGGTGCCCAATTCATCATCCCTCTTCCTGACCAGAAATTCCTCAACTGGGACGTCCCGATGTCTACCATCGTGCATGCCAACCAAGCCGATGCCACAGCTGCTATGGCATCAGGCCAGATGATCGCAAACAGCATCTCGGTTGCTCAATCGTTTACCGCTACCGTGGAAGAGTTCCTAGCAATCGGCACCACCGTCACCTACCAGTACACCGAAACGGCTACTCTCACCGGCACGGTCACCATGACAATCCCGAAGAACAAGTGGGGTGCCATTGTTAGCAACCCCCTGGTCAATCGCAAGAGGGGATACGTATTCAGCGGACAGCCCGGAAGTGGACAGTACGAATTCTACCAGGCGGATTCTTATACCCATGATACTTACACCTACGGAGCGAATTCCTTGTCCTGGGTTAAGGGTGTTGTTACTACCTGCTTGGGAGATGCTTACCCTCTGAAGCGCTGCGTTGGAGAGGGTGTTTTGGAGTAAATCTTCAACTTTTGTGACTTCGTTCGCATTTCCAGGTTGTGAATCATGGATATTGGCCATAATTTCACTTCACAATATGCCTATGGGGTGCAGTGAGATGCTCTCATGGCAGAGGTCTTGATTTCCTGCTACTTTATGTTGTATATATCAGCTGTCGATTCTCAACTGAAGTACTAGTTCCAGAGCAATAAATGTGCAGTTACTGGTAGATATAGACTTGAGACTCCAAGGGGCTTTCTCGCATTTTAAGAAGCTAAAGTTTGGTGTATGTGACCGGAGGGCTCAGCAAAAGCCCTCAATTTGTTCCTTTCTCTCTCTTTACATTTAATACTCATTAGATGCTTGCTTCGCCATACTCCAGTGGTGGGATGTCTGAAGTAAGACCAAGGTACCCCGGGCCGACCTCGGAACCTTGGAAGGACCGTACGATCTCCACTTTCTCCACACCCATGAACCCCTGGTCTCACAACTGCAGATCCCACATTCTCGTCCAGGATATGTCCGGCAGTGCTTCCATAGCTCTGCCCATATCTTTCAATTTCTGCAACAATTCCAAGATTTGCTTTTCCATGTGCTTGTATTCCATAATGCAGCGCAAATCAGGCTTGGGAGATCTGCGTGAGATTGAAATTGGCCTGTCTATCTGAAACATCGTCAAGTAGTAGTGCAATTTCCCTGGTTAGGACCAACCTTGCGAGCAGACTCACCCCCGAGGCTGTCAGATAATGTCTTGCCGGCGGCAGACCATCTGTTTTGAGAGTTCTAGTTATCTTCACCGGATCGGCCATCGTGATAGCGATCTGTATGCGTGTCATTGAACACGAACGAGATAAAGATAATGGTCAATAGCACTATAACAGGCTAGTGCTTTTTTGAAAAAGCAAATAAACTCAGCTGAATTTTTGGGGGTCGACCTCCGTAGGCCGTGTGAGGCAGGCAGCTCAGGGTCATTTCGTAGTTGCCCTTAGCAATGAGGGGTAAATTATCGTCTGCTGACCTGGATTCAACCCAATCTGCCTTTTGCCAGCGAACTTCCTCTCCAACCCCCTCTCCAAACGAAACCAATTTGGTGAGCACAGCGAGTACATCCTTTGAGCTAATATAGTTATCCTCCAACTTGAGACTGACCGTCTGACGACGGTAGCCATCCATGGCAACTTCACCTAATACCACCACCAAATACGCCTCGGAACAATTCGTCGAAAGCTGCCGGGCTATCCTATTCGACCTGTCCGCCCAAAATAAAACTGTATGCCTTATCCATTAGCACGCGAAGAACGAATGGCTCCTCGCCAAGGGACGTCGCAACTGCGGCGAATCCCGGCACGAGGCCGCACTGCGCGAAGTCCGCGAACAGACCGGCAATCAAGCCCACCTCCATCCCGTCACGATGTGTACTCGTGCGTCCCCGATGGACGAACAAGGACATGCCAGACAAACCTCGCTCTTACCCGGATCTCACCGAGCCCTTTATGATAACCATGCGGCAGGCACTAGTCGGTGATAGTGTTAATGATGTTAAGATTATTTGGTAGTATATTGCTGCCCTGGATGAAGGGGTGGTTGCTGGATCTGCTGGGGTCGAGGAGGGGTTTACGCTGGGATTATTTCCCTTGGAGGAGGCGGTAAAGAAACTCAGCATCCAGAACGATCGGACTGTCCTTCAGAAGGCGATTACATGAGTGGACGCTTAGGTACCTAAGGTTATTAAATCAGATGCTGGGAAGCATGCACTTCCATAGCCAAAATCGCTAGATCGATCGCCTTAGGAACTACCTAGGCAGGCGAGCAGAATGCTCATCTGGGATATTCTAGAGATCGACACACAATGTATGTATTTTCGAGACTTACGCTAGGGCTTCCCAGGAGATATCTCGGGCAGTCTGAATCTACGGGTAAAGTCCAGTAATTGAACAATCGTCAAGCAGCAATCATGGTGGCGCATTTCAAGTCTGTGGAGCATTTTGTCTCCCCGGGGTGTATTTCTATCTGTAATGGCCAGGGGCTTTTCTCAACCCTCAGATTTCTCTGGGGAGTCTTCTTTTTGCCGCCACATCCCACAGAGCAACAGCAGGAATGGAATCGTCGCTAGCAAGATGAATGCCACTAGCGTGAATGTCCATCCCCGACCCATTGCTCTCAGCATAGGATCGATGGCAGCCGAGGCCCCGGCCGAGAAGAACGACCGCACCAAGTTATTAGCAGCGGTAGCAGCGGCCGGGTTAGCGTTGTGCAGGTCGACCAGCAGGGTAGACGTGGAGATGAAACCGCCAGTCTGCCCTACGCCAACAAAAAACAGAAGCACTTCTGGAGCCGCAAGAGGGGCACCGTACTTCAAAACCCAGCCAAAGGCCAGCACGGTGACACTACCGAGAACCACGAGGGGAATAGTAACCATACTACGGGCCTTCTCGACAGGGATCGAACCCTCGGTTGTGTCTTGTTCGAGGGTAGTAGAATTGGCGGCTTTGTTGGTAGCCATGCGTCTGTAGTTCCAGTCCAGAAGGCGCCCTGTCACAACTGAGGCCACGATAGACCCTGTACCCAGCGAGATATAGCATAGACCAATCTCAAGCTCGTCTAGGCCGTACTGCGCCGTGTATATCTCCGTGATAGACGAGAGAACCGTCATGTTTCCACCCATGATAATTCCCGTCACCAAAAGAATGATGATCGAGTTCGGATGGAATACAAGTCTCAAGGGCTTCAGGGGGTTGGGGAACTTGAGCTTGTGCTCAATGATTTTCTTTGGGGAATCGCTGCTGTCAGGTCGATCAAGACTATCCTTGTCGGAAGGACCCTGCTTGTCCCCATTATGGCGAGAGAAAAGGTGGATCAAGGGCCGATTCCACCGCTGGGCAGGAGACGAGCCGTCGCCAACGACGTTTCTGGCTGTCTCGGGAAGGAAGAGGAGGAGAGGCAACATGAATACGCCGGACGCGATGGTGAGGAACCAGAAGATCGATCGCCAGCCCAGATATTGGGCTAAAAGACCTCCGATAATCGGACCAATGGCGGGACCCATGAAATTCCCAGCCATCACAAAGCCCATCATCGATCCTCGTTCCTGTTTCGTGCTGATATCAGCCACGGTAGCCGCGGAGAGCGCCACGCTACTGCTGATCCCGGAACTCTGCAAGCATCGCAATACAATCAGAGCAGCATAGCTGTCCTGCAAAGCCAGTCCGATATTTGATGCGATATAAATAATAAAACAAATTATATAAGCTGGTCGACGACCTGTTCTGTCTGCAAAGTCGCCGATGAACATGGGCGCAATTCCTTGGAAGATCTGTTATAGTTATCCCTATCTGTTAACATATGGGCGGTGTTATTTGCATCAAATGGGACATCCTTACCATGTAACTCGTCACCGTCAGGTTGATCATGGAAGCTGATACATTGAGGTCGCTGGCCAGTGTGTTCAGGGCTGGGAAATAGATCTGGGCCGACAAGGAGGAAAATAGACCAGCCCCAGCGGCTGTAGCGACGATGTATCTTTTTTTGGCGCTGCTAAAGCAGCTGTACGGTGGAGGCAGAGCCTCTGCAAGCGTGATTTCAGAATTCATTCCTGCTCAAGTCGTTGGAACACGTGTAGGAGAGTCGAAACAACCTGAATGGATTGGACCATTTGACAATTATGAGATTTTGCTCGTCCCCTTTTCCACTTGATTCGCAATGAACAAGTCATCGTCGATCCAACACGAAAAAGGCCACAACGCACCGTGACGTAAATTAGGAGAAGGGTTCCACTGCGACAATCGGAAGAATTTGGATGATGTGATAGACAGTCTCGAACAGAATGATCGACTCCTCAAAATTGATCCATCGAAGCGCTAGTCATTACTTAGTGGTAGTATTCTCGGCGACGCGTAACTTTCGGGCAATATTGAGTGGCTTTCGGCTCGGGAGGCATCGGAGGCATCGGGATCCCCTGGGATCTGGTGGGTTGATATTCGGGAAACCCCTGGGCTGGAGATCTGCAGGGTTGAGACAAGCTCACATGCTTCTGATGGGCTTTCCTGATTGGCCATATCCTCCCCATAGGGCCGGCCACCTGGGTCCCCTCTAGACCCACATGCTCGGAAGCTTGTTTGCCCGTTAAAATTCCCAGGTGATCTATCAGATCGTTCGAGAATTTCCAAGGCGTTATTCGGCCATTTCATGCGATGAAATCAATCAGATGCGCACTAACATTAAACTCAATAAACAAGTGTGAAGGATGCCATGAACAAGGAGTATCAGACTAAAAAGGACGTTTGAGATCCTGCAGACAATGAAACCCTGAACGCGCATCCCTGATCTTCAATCGTGATGTGCTCGCTTAGATTTCTAGACTCGAATTATGTGATGATCTGCAATTTTCATTGTGTAATGAATTCACCTTTATAGCCAATTAACCCGTTGAGCTGAAGGCTTGTGTCGACTCAAATAGACAAGATGCTCGTGAAGATCCACACTTGTCAATTCTATCAAGTTATATTGAATATTTGCAGTAGGTGTACTAGACCATATAATCACATCATCGTATATTGTACCCCATCCAGTGCACGTTGTACACATGGTCCTCGTTAAGAGCATATGCCAGAACATTCACATGACGCAACCTGATTGTTCCCTTGGATGATCACTGGGTGGCATACAACGGATAGGGCAGGAGCCGGGACGCAATTACATCCGATACAGGTCAATCCTACCTTCTTGGGCTAGATAGAACGTGCAGTACAAAACGTGTACTTTGTGCAGATCCATTGATCACTTGAGCCGGCAATATTTAAATGGACAGGCTTTCCTTGAATCGACCTATCGATCAACCCAACTGAAAATCCCCGGGTACACTCTTTAAAAGCCTTTCTTTCCTCCAAATCCAATACCAACGATACCCTCAGAACAAAAGTTAGACCAATATCATGGCTGCTGAAAACTTCGACTCCGTGCCAACAGTCACTATCATCGGCGCAGGGCCCTGTGGCTGTGCCTTCGCGGCTGACCTGGCCAACCGTGGAAAGTCAGTCATGCTATATGCTCATCCCGATCATCGTGGTGGGACCGATATGATCGAGAAGAACGATGGCTGGTTGAATGCAGCTGGAGAGATCAGTGGAAAATTCCAAATCAAGACCACCAGCGACCTTTATATTGCCATTCGACACTCTCCTTTTATTGTGACCACAGTACCCTCATATGGACAAGACACGATCTTGACGTTGCTGAGTCAATTTGACTTGCGAAACCATACCCTCGTCATCAACGTGGGCAATTTCTTCTACCTCTCTGCGCGCTCCAAGATCAACGCCCATGCAATCCTCGAGACTGACATCTCCCCTTATGCCACTCGCATCCAGTGTGACACGGTCTTTGTGAAGGGTTGCAAGAAGACTCTGTCAATCTGGGCTGAGCCACCGAACACGACACAAGTTGAGCGACTCGACCCCCAGACCGAGCTTGGCCTCCGACAGAAGGTGGAGATGATCTTTTCTCAGAAGCTAGTGTGGTGTCAGAATTTGCTCGAGGTTGGGTTGAACAACGTCAACCCAGTGGTACATTGCCCTGCGGCACTCATGAATGCAGGCTGGATCGAGGCCACCAAGGGCGATTTCTACTTCTACGCTCAGGGAATGTCGCCCGCTGTCTCCCGTGTCACTGAAAAGGTGGACAAGGAGCGCCTGGCAATTTCCCACGCCTATGGTCTCGAGATCACACCCATCACGATGTACATGAACCAGAACTATAACAATGATCGGGAATACTCCGACTACCACGACTTTGCGTCAGGCTCCGTGGTCCACAACAAGACCAAGAGCTCCCCGACCTCCCTGAATCATCGATACTTGTTGGAGGATGTTCTCTATGGCTTGGTCCCTTGGTATGAGCTCGGTTTGAAGTGTGGCTTGGCTTCGCCAACTATTAGAGCACTTATCCAGATGGCCGCGGTTGTTAGCGGCTTTGACTACTTTGAGCACGGACGGACCTTGAAGTCTGCTGGACTAGGCGATGCCACTAAAGAGCAGGTGCTACATGCGCTAGGTGGGCCAGTGGACAAGACTCCTAGTGCTCACGCATCCTTGCCAGAATCTCCTATTGGCAACAAGCTAGAGCTGCATGCTCCGCTACAGACGGCTCGAGTCGGGGCGTGATAATGTCTTCGCGTTCCAAGTTTTGATATTCTTTTTGAATTTTCCTTGTCGTTTCTTTCTGTCTCTCTGGGTCCATTTTTCAATGGTGATGCTGTGGCCAAAAGGTTGGAGTCCATCTATGGACGAATTGGTCAAGTCTTATTTCCCCATTTCGAAAATTCACGCTTGTTACTGCAATATAGTTATAATTACCGACGTATTGAGATATCCCCCATGGATGCCTGATTCCACAGGCTTGTTTTCTGGCAGGCTGAGCGCTTGCTGTTAGCCTATAAAAAGGCTTGCTTTTGCTAGTTCAAATCGAGATTTTTTTCCTTCTCTCTCTCCCCTAGTAGCAGCCTCACATCATTATGTTAGATAGAATAATCGATCTTTTAAAATGGTCCTTTTAATTTAGAAAATGCCCTTAGAGGAGGGCACATTCTAAGGATCTCTTATTTTATGTCAGTTTATGAGGTACCTAGTTGCCAAACAAGGAAAGTGGAAACCTGTTCGAGTCAATCCCACCTGGGCAGTTCTCTTGGATTTCCTCGCCTTTTTCCAAATTTCTCATCATAGACACTTTCAACCGCTTGCCCATTTCCAACCGTACAGGAAAGTTGCCCGTGGGTCGATGTCTACGCAAGCTCCACTAATCCTCTGTGTGCCATCGGTAAAGCACCATGTCCATATCATATAGGTGTCGCATTCACACCTAGAGCCTAGAGTATGGCACGACCCGGACAGTTAGGGGAAAGAAACACATGCATAACAAGCCCCCTTAAATTTGTGGGACGATCGAGGACGGGGCTAAAAAGCTTACCTAGGTAAAGAGCGCTCTGGTGAGGCTGTACTGTGATACTACCGAACCATCGCTGGACATTTCCAACGAAGGCAGCTTGACTGCTACTCCCAGGAGGCACACCCGCGCGGGCCAATATTTTGCCATGGCCTAGACAACAGTTCGACGGCAACATTCATCGACCTCAGAACATTGTGGAATGGACTCGATGAGCGTCTGGTAAGTGAATATTTCCCTGCTGGTCGGTTTACATATAACTATTGGGACTGACAAAATCCTGGGCAGCTACTTTCTCTATAGTCCGGCGCCCACATCGGCTGCATCAATCATAAAGACTGGAAATTTTATTTGATACTTCATCACTCCCGGCCCTTTTTCCTACATGCATCATGGTGATAAAATAATGCCTACAATCTGGCTTTCTGGCGTAGGAAAATTTGAGGAGATCTTGTGCGTCTTTGCTGATAATGTCGAATGAAGAACTGTCGATATCACATTACAGAGAGTGTCTTCTTCTGGGTACCAGTAATACTTCCTAGGGTCATCCTGATGCTCCTCCTATGCTTCATCATCGCCTCCTTGGCATTCATGCGCTCGAGACAGGCTGCGTTCCACATGACTCATCTTCATTGGCGAAGAGCGTCTGGGATGTACTCCCCAGAGGAGTTGCTGTAACTTCCACCCCATACGCTCATCCAGGCCAGCCGTGGGAGCACGGAAATTCCATTAGGTTCATTGTCACCTTGGAAGAGCGTAATGGTTCAATGGCGTCCCTGGTGCTATACCCAGGGCTAAACGCAGTGTATGCCATCGTAAGCAAACGTCGAAGACGCTGTGAGTATCCTCGAGAAAGCCGCTGAAACGCCAGATCATGGAATACTTCGTCACCGTAATCAGCTGATCGTTATCTTCGGTATCTTTGATCTTGGAATAGACGAAGTGTAGCAGCTCGAGGCCGTGGCATATCGGTGTCTTGAGTAACCTATCACTGTTGTCTGTTCGTTCAAAGCTAAAATTAGCATTTCTCAACCCGCAATATCTCCAATTGTGGACTTCAGAATCGAGAGATTCCTACTCACTGCGGATATTACCATCAAATCCGGGGCTCCTTTCTCCCAGATCCCGTGTAATTTTGTGGACAATCTGCTGGAACTTCTCTTCAGTGAAGTAACTGAGACAGGATACATGTTTTACCAACCAGGGGTCAAAGGTACATAAGAAGTATTTGAGAATGCGACCAGGGGTGGCGATCCTTCTATTAAGGGAGACAGAATCACGCGATTCGAGGCCATAAATATTGCAACAGAGTTGGAATCGATAAAAAGCGCACATCAGTCGTGTATCTTCTGTCCTGCTCAAAATCTCCTCAATCTCGCGCATCAGTCGTGTCTCTTCTGTCCTGCTCGAAGTCTCTTCAATCTGGGATCCTTTTGTCTTCTTAGTGAGATCACTCGATGCTCTTGTCACAAAGCATCGCATCAAGGGTTGAACAATTGAGCAATGAAATTTGACCATAGATGTGACCTCTTCCATGCTGAGCACTTTGTAGAGAGGTGCAGACCAAACTTGAGACCTTATCATATGGTAGGACGTGAAAGGATTTTGGACTCCTTCTGGATTACGTCGCGTTGCAACTTTTATGGAGCTGAACTTGTGAACTGCATATGCATCAGCAGTCACGCTACCCAGTGTGGACTCCAGGCTTTGACAGAGCAAAAGCTTGCGATCTAGTCGGTATTGGTGAAAGTAAATAGGCGAGGCTTGCACCAGGGTCTTGAGGCTGTCAACATCCACCATCGAAAGGATATGACGTCGGAGCTCAGCTGGTAGGTTTTCCAACGACAAAGGGACCTGAGAGGTTTTCAAAGCCCCCTCGGTCTCAGCCACTTGGAGCAGGTTATCATTTCCCCTTTGAGGGGCGATTTGAGATGCTGTTGGCTCGTGGAATTTCGCGTGAGTGGCAGGTCTCACTCTGAAGGAAAACAAAATCTTCAATTTCTTCCTGAGCTTTTTGAAAGGCATGGTTGCGGACTTGAAGTGGATATGTGAGAGAAGAAGTAAATGTGAGGGAGATAACAAATGAAGTAGAAGGGGGTTGAAGATGGCGGTGGCTGTTGTAGGCGCAAACAATAGAATGAGTCACGTTGGAGTAGAGGAGTCTTTCACTTCATCTCAAGTTCTAGTCACTTTCAGCGTCAACTTGAGAGATTTTTGGAGGCTCCAAGCTACCATGTATTGGGGAGAGAGAGAAAGAAGAAAGTATTATCATTCAATCTAGCAAAGGCAGGCCTTTTATAGGCCGCATGTAGCAAACAAGCGCTCAGTCTGCCAGCAAAAACAGGCATCTATGGGAGATGGGATCATCTGAACAAAGATGTCTAAAGTGACACATAGATCTCGCTCCAAGTGCCGGGCCACCTCAGCTACACCGACCGAATTACTATTTGGACTGGACTTTGCTCTACAGACCGTCAAGTGAGCATTGCTATCATGACTTGCCATAATGTGCGACGCAGCCTGTATCCAAAGTAAATCTCTTAGGGCCAAGTTTCCCAAGGGACGTATGGAAGACTTTGTACGAGGTGTATATACAACATGTACATGGACCTTTTAGATGGCAAGGTATACCTTTCTTGGTCTTAAGGTATAATCTAGGTATAATTAAGACAGGCAAGCATGCTCAGGATAATTTAGTATATTATTTATATGTTTAGAGCCAGCCAGTGCGCTCTTTGCATAGTCTATATGCGGTATATATACAGTGTGCGTGACGTCAATAAGATGAAGCAATATGCAGCAGTATGAAGCACGATAAAGCAAGATGGAGTTATCTAAGTATCAGTGTTGGCGCAGGTGAAGCTGTTGCTGTTGGCGTTCTTGTTGATAGCCGTGCCAGAAGCATATAAGCCAAGAACGCATAGCGCCAAACCGAAGCAGGCAATGCCGATGTTGAGGATGGTAAGGAGAATCTTGCGGGGAGAGGCGAACCACTCGCCGCGGTTGAGGTGGAGCCAGTAGATACCGGAGAGACCGTAGCTGAACCAGGAAGCGAAAAGAGCACTGATCAAACTGTTCAGGTCGCTGAAGACAGGAATAGCCTCGGAGATAATCCACGCAACGACCCAGCAAGCCACACCAAGAGCAATCCAGAGACCAACGGAACGCTTGTTGCGCTGATGCATCAGATCCGACTTGGAACAGAGGCGGAAGTAGATGTACTTCAAGCCGATATGGCCGTTGACGACACCGGCGCCGACAATGGTGGGGATAGCAACACCGTAGGCAATCTTGCTCATCAGGGGCCCTGCGGAGGTGAGAGCAGGGGAATGCACGTCCGTGCCAATGTAGAAGTAAATCACAACGGCGGCGGACAGGTAGAGGCAGATCTCAAAGCCCTGGAGCATGAACAAGGACTTCTTGAAATCCTGAGGCGTCTCCATCTCGGCAATCAAACCGAAGAAAGCGACGTGGGCGCAGTAAGCGAAGACGATGTTTGAAACAGACTGGAATGCAGTGTACAGGTTGGTTTCAACTGTGGCTTGGATAACACGATCGGGGTGGCTTTGGACTCCCACCGCTACCATAGTGATCACCACGGCGCTTAGGATGCTGAGGAATGAAGCAAACGAGATCCAAGTCATGCCCTTCATTGTACGGGGGATGGACAGGAGGAGCGAGATAACCATACCGACGACACTGAACACAATGGAGCAGGTGCCGTGGTTGGTCAGGGTGTTCATCATGACGCGGAAGGTCAGGATGTGGCTGCCCATGACAAAAATACAGAAGAGGAACTGGCCAGTACCGAAGAGCTCACGGCCGAACTTGCCTAGCAAGATCTCGCCGGCATCACCCAGGTTTTGAATATGAGGATACCGTTCGCGGAAGAGGCCAATATTGTAGCCAGTGTATGTTGCGAGAACTCCAAGGCCGATAATCAGGATGACACCGGGGACGAGGCCCAGGGTAGCGACGGCTGAGGGCAACGACAACACACCAAGTGAAACTGACTCACAAATCATGAGCAAGCCACATTGCCTGAAAATACCACACGTTAGCACGGTCGATAACAGACTCCTTTCTCGATGATAGATGGATACGTACCACCACGTCAAGGTTTTATACTTGATCTCAGCGTACTCCTCGTTGCCAAAAGCATCGTGGACCTCGCCAGCCTTGAGCTGGCCCTCCTCGTCCAATGGCACATCCTTCCGCTCAGCGATCTTATCCTGCTCATACGCAGGTGGTGCTGTATTGACCTCCATTCTGTGTAGTTGAAAAAGCAGAGGAGTCAAAGTGTTGAAGATGGGTACAAAAAAATAAGTAAATTCCCACGAGGAACAAAGCTAAGTGGGAGGAGATCTGGCCATCTTATTGTTCCCCCGTTTTCTCGCGTGCCTTCGAAATTTAGAATTTTGCCCCATTGGAATAAATGGAAGGTTCCACAGAAATTCGATGCAACCCCGACGAATTCACCAATGACTTGCCTTAGTTCGGTCCGAATCCGGAGACATGACCAATGTCTGGCCAATGTCAGTGCCGGGCTAGCCTTGCTGACTCATTCTAATTGGTGATGGAAATTGGTCGCGAAGGCTAATTCTGCCCCAGTTCACCCCCAGTCCCACCTCTGGTACGACATTGTAGCGCACATTGCCTGATCGTTGACACATAAATACACTGACGATCGCCATTCCCGTTTTAAGGTTTATTATTTGTTGGAGAACGTTCGAAAATACTGTATATACGTTTTTACATATGTAGATAGTCATTTAGAGGTTGCAAGTTGAGGCTTTTATTCTTATATCGGATAGCCTTTTTTCCCGAGCCTAGTTTCTTCACCCGGACTCGGCGTCTTTATTCCGATTTTTGGCTAAAGAATTTTCTCACCGAGTCACCGACCTCGGGAGTGGCGACTCAAAAACGCCCCACCCGAACTCCGGAGGAGAGGGCCAACTCCGGTCTGTTCCACCTGTGGATTCGAATTATGTGCCTAATTATGTGCCCTACATATCTACCCCAGGTCTAATATCTTCATAGACTGCCGTTGATGCCATATCAACCTCTACGCCTCTTCCAATTCGCCTATTGATCCCCCAGACTATGGAGTTCAATTAGTACATCATGCGTAACACGTGGTGGTTCCAGTTCTACGTGGAGCAAGCTCTATTTTTTGGTCTTGTATAACATGAGATAAGCTTAATTCTGATCCTAAGCAACATGGCTGCCAAACAATTTAAATGATATCCATAGATATTGATAGATTGCGCCTCTTGGGAACATATTGGTCGTGTATCAGACCAGGATATTGACATTTCTTCCATCTTGGCATGACATGCCATCTCTTGGACGATTGTTTAGTTGCGATATCGAGTAAATACCTACCTTAATTGTCCGTACAAGGATGATTTCAGCCCCGGAGCGGACCTCGGAACTTTGGACTACCCCAACATCGTCGTGCATAATCTGAAACGTGAATTCACGGAGAATTCGGAGAAATCGGCAAGGAGAATCCGGAGAAAGTCTCGCAGGCGCATCGAACACGAGGCCACAGCACTGACCCCGAGGTTCATTACGGATCAAACATTGGTTGCTCCCGAGATCGGCCCACGGGGCGGTGAAAGCTTAGTAATAATATGCATATCCCACATGGGCACCTAGGCAGGTATGTACCTGCTGTTCTTGGACTAGTGTGGCGAGGAACATTCGTTGGCCCAACATGGATTAGCGCGGACTCTCGTCCGCCGACCCAATCGATATCAGCAAGTTGCTTGCCATGAACACGACGGGGTCTAGCCAAGTTACTCGTGGGGTTTGAGCTGTAATATCGATATATAAGAAAGGGCTCACTCCATACCGCGCCGGCGACTCTGTGCATCGCTATATAGCATGACTCCACAGCCACCCATCAACCCTTTAACATGGCAGCCATTGCCGCAGCCTCTATCAGACATAGAGCTGGAGGGCATGCTGGATACAAATGAGCCAGCCCAATTGATGCAAGAGAGCCATTCTTTTGATACAAGTACTGACTACGAATTCCAACCATTTCTCTCAGACATCGGTGATCTGCAATGGTCGCAGTGGACAAATTATGAGTCAAACCTCGTCTCCGTCGCCGATACACAACCTGGATATCGAGAGCATGAAGAACTTAAGGCTTCAGAAATTGTATATGATTCTGCTCCGGCTTTAGCAGGAGAAAATGTTGACCCATCCTTGTCGCAACCAAGCCTCACCAATGTCTCACAGTGGCTTGATGGGGCATATCGTCCACCTATTTCATGTGCCCATTGTCGCAGGCATCGACTGCAATGTCTGATAATTCGGACTACGCCTGCTAATCCAAATCCTAAAAATGCCTGCTCAAGCTGCGTAGCCCTTTTTCGAGAATGCAGCTTAGCAAAGGGAGAGAAGCGCCTCCCGTCAGGCTTTGAAACTTTCTCTCCTGTATTGGGTCATCTCCACGGTGTGCCAGAAGATGGAAACCCATTGCCCGCTACCACTATGGACAATGGTGATGGACGGAAAGAACCCAAGCAGTTTCTCAGAAAAGGAGCTAGAGTTCTCCGCGAGTGGTTCTATCAGAATCAAGAATATCCTTATCCAACAGATGCGCAAAAGAATCAGATGGCCCACGAGACTGGCTTCTCCCAAAAGCGCATATCGACCTGGTTTGCAAACGCCCGCCGCCGTCAGAAGCAAAAGATCCAGACTGCGGGCCTTTCTTCAACATCCCGTACTCGCTCAGGCTCCCCAATGGTCACCAGCACGCTGTCTTCCCTGACTCCCATGGAGCGATGGCAGGCTTCCCCGCCAGAAGATGAAGCTGTTCCAGAAGCGGCAATTCAAAATGCCATTGCCTCTGGCTCGATAGAGTCGGACGACAGCACTGACCCGTTCCAGCTCGATGGGTCTGCCATGGATTTCTTCAATTTCGACGAGAGTTCGTCACATTTGGCATCCTCGGTATCGAGCATTGGGAGCAAGGCATCTGAGACATCTGATAGCGCCTCTTCAGCATG